TATGAAATCAAAGTTGGAATCTATGTATTATAATAAAATCTGGGATCTTGTAGAACTTTCTAGTAGGGTGATACCTATGGAAGACAAGTTAGTCTACAAAAGGATACCAGAAGATTTCTTAGTAATTAAATCATGAGTGTATAAAGGGAATGTCATTATTTTTTCCTAATTCTATATATTGATGACATCCTACTCATTTATAATAACGTGGAAAGTTTTGTCATCAGTAAAGAGGTAGTTGCTCAATTATTTTGAAATGAAGGATTTTAAAGATGTAAACTATATTCCTAGGATCAAGCTTTTGTAAGATTAGGTTAAAAGGAAAATAGGCTTATCTTAATAATCCTACATTGATAAAATTTTAACCAGATTTGGTATGCATAACTCAAATAATAAGTTCTTACTTTATTGATATGGATTGCTCTCTCTAGTAAGTAGTTTTCCAAGACTAGCAGAAGAGATTGAGCAAATGAGACTGGAACTATATGCTTTGGCATATGAGAGTCTCATATATGCCATGATCTATACCAAACAGGACATCCGCTACATTGTAGGGATAGTCAGATGATATCAATCCAATCCTGGACTTGATAACTGGTCTGTTATGAAAAATATCATTAAGTACCTAAGGAGAACCAATGATATCATAGTCATTTTATGGATGTGATGATATGGTCCTAGTCAGGTATACTAGTTCTGATTTTCAATCAGAAGTAGATACTATGAGGTTCATGATTTAGTGTATGTTCACTCAATGGAAGGGAAATCAGTTAGTAGATTGTTAAGCAGATTTCAACTACTGACTTAAACCTGCAGGTGGAGTACATTGCAGCCTTAAAGGTGGCAATGGAAGCCTTTTTGGTTTGATCTCACCGATTTAGAGGTTGTGGAGCATACTAGCCTGCCTATCGAGCTATATTGCGACAATAATGTAGAAGTAGTCCAAACCAATGACCCAAGGTTCTATAGAGGAACAAGGTACATTGATAGGAAGTATCATATCTTACATGAGATTGTCTGGCAAGAAAATGTACTCATGGCTAGAACATTGCATTGGAACACAACTTTGTTGATCCATTAACAGAAGTGTCATCGATCAATAGTTTTGATCGTCATCTGGATAACATTGGAGTTAGATGTGATTTGAATTAGCTATAAGGGCAAGTGGGAGCTGTTGGGATTTATATGCCCTGGCATAGCAAATTCCCATTTGGATTATAGTGACATATGTTCCTGACGTTTCTGAAATATTTATGCTTTATACAATTGGTGAATTCAATGTATTATGTTTTGATTCATTATAGAATTGATAGTGTCCACTTGATTACAAGAAATATTTATATATGTATGTGATGGCGATTAATACATGAATATAAATAGTAATCATAAATTGGTTATAGTCGGTAATTATGGATGGACTCATAATTAATTAAGACTTGAACTGGATCCGCATTAGGTTGAGATATATTGCGAGAACCGTCGTATGCAATTGCTCACTATCACCGTTATGGCATTTGACTCTTAAGCATGAGAAAAGTATAGATTCTTTTATTAATTAATAATTACTTTGATTTGTTCGACAGAGTCTTCGGGATCCTTAGATCGACACTTTGGGTAGTTATGAAATTAATAGTTAGAGGGTTATATTTTCAATATTTGTATCATTGTTACTTGTATTTATTTTGTATTGATTATGGTTGATCACAAAGTAAATTCGAAGGCCTTCGTGTGTTTTTAGACCAAATGATTTATTATATATTTATTTATTTATATTATTATTTTTGTCAAACAGATGTTTTATTGTGATCGAGACAGAAATAATCAATGATACCAAAATAAATATATTAATTAAGTAATCGGATTGATGGCTTTATTTATCCGATAACTAATTATGTATAGAGCGGTTAAAGTGCAATATTGACTTAGAGGTTATTTATTATTTAATTGGAGTTCAATTAATTTCTTTGAATGGAGTAGAAATTAATTTATGAATTAATTGAATTGGGTCCATGGACTGGACCAATTATTAATTCATTATAACCAATAAAATAATAAGCCCAAAGGATTTTCACTCATAGCCCAACTTGATATTGGAATCTTATTAGGTTTGAGACATATGAATTAGAGATTGTGAAGGATTCGTTGTCTCCTTTTCTTTATCTTTATATTGCCTATAAATATACATGGTCGATGTATATTTTAGAGTGATTTTTATGAGAAGGAAAAATGAATATATTTTCTCTCTCTAGAAAATTAGGGTTTATGTTCTCATCTAATGGAGGCTTCCACAAGCCTAGTTTTCCAAGGTCATTCATGGAGGCTTATGAGTGATTCCTAAAGGCAAAACAATTACCAAGAAGATGGAGATCTAAGGAGAAGACATCTTGCTAAGGGATCTACAATAAGTGAGAACATTCACTTTAGAGAAAAGAATTAAAGGTTTACTCAGACATTTGATATAAGTATTCAATCTGTTAATTGAATAATACATCATATTTTATTTTTGCATAAAACTTGTCTCTATGTGATGAATCAAGATTTATGTATGAAAATCCCTCAGAAAGTTTTTAAAACTAGCACGTTTCCCAACACTGATACCAAACAAAAGAAACCATTAAGTCCAAAGAGATCGCTTTACCTCCAGCCATGAAATCAGATTGATTAATGCCTGCAAAACAAAGTAAGAAATCCTTGATGAAGACAACACAGATTGCACTTGTTAAACATGAGACCTCTGTAAGATTCTGTAAAAAATAAAATAGAGAAGCAAGTAATCCATCATACAAGCCCTCTTTTTTATTTTGATTCAAAATGGCAGTTATTATTAAACCACTTGTAATTTCCCAAAAATCACGTAGTTATAACTTTCCAGTAACGTTGTGTCAGTGTAAGTGGTTAGAATATAGTGTGAGAATATAAGCCACACCACGTTTAATGAATAAACGTGTCCAACACTTATTTCTTACCCCAAGAGAGCAACAGAGTTGGTGAGACGGGAACCTCTAAGTGCTAGATGATCGTATCTAGCACTTAGGTGTGGATTTGATTTTCCTCTAACTCTGTAAGTTCTTGACTTACCTGTTACTCGTATTATGAGAACGGGGTGGATAGCCGAGGGTTTACCTAATAGTTACAAATCTAAAGAACGGATAGCTGCGAGAGTTCTCACCTCATAAAATAAAATAAACTCATTTCTTATATATTTAATTAATTAGAAAATGATGTTCCTATTGTGGTTGATTATGTGATGTCACTAACGTAATTAAACATGTTTATAACAACAATAAAACCGTAGCTTCTTCAACCAAGATTAATTTCACCCATCATATCAATAATTAATTATGTTGAACAAATATATTTAGGGTGTTATTATCAGACGTTACATTATGAAATAGATGGAATAAAAATATTGAATTATCAATACTAATATTAATTTATATGTACGTATATGCATACCACATATATAATGATTTATTAAAAAGTTTGTTGCGGCATGAGGTCCGTGACAGAACATTAGATACGTGACGCATATATATATAATGTTATATATGTGCAAAGTACTTATTTTGGTGGACATGCATTTGATATAACTTTATGACACTGTAATTTGTGCACCACTGCGGAACAAGTCATGCATATTACATTGTCATAATAGGGGAATTAACATCCCGTGAACCAACCTAACCTAACAGAAATAACTGTCTCTTGTGAAATGGTACAAACATGTGAAGGGAATTAAGTTTTAATTCCTATATTTATATGTCATGTTGGTCTGTTTGAGTTTAAATATTTTTTTTTTGTATTTTTTTTTGTTGTTTGGTTGTTGTAAAATATTTACGAACAAAAAAATATTAAAATTTAACAAAATAATTTATTCATCAATTTTTGACAAACCATTTTGTACGTCTCACCCGATGGATTTCACCTCAATATATCTTGACCTACACCTTTTTCAAACACCGAGCAAAAAAAAAAAAAAAAAAAAAAAAAAAAAAAAAAAAAAAAACATTTTACCTAAAAAAAACTTGTGTTAGGGTATTTTACTAGGAAATACATTAATTTTTTGAAATGATTTATAATGCTCACAAGTAGCAAAGGAATTATTTTAAGGTTGTCATCAAACGTCATGTTGCTGCTAAAAAGTCCTGCTAGATTAATAAATGGAGAGAGTCGAAACCTGACATTCCAAAGTCCACTTGAGGTATTAACTCACTGGACTATCGAAACATCCGCACAAAACTCTATTATTATTATTATTATTTTTTACTTATAAGTTAGATTTATAGATGTAGAGAATCGAAGCCTGACATTTCAAAATTTATTGAAGACATTAACACATTCGACCATCGAGGCATCTGCTCAAAACTCTATTATGAAATAGGTCCAAACACACTTTGCCCTAAAATTTAAAGGCATCCCATTTCAATTCTCCTTTGGATTTTCATTTATAGTATATTATGTATGAAGACAAGACACAACAAAGAGAGGCAAAAGAAGAAAGAGAAAAGCAGCTTTGTTGGGCCAAGTTTGATTGTGGGCCCAGAGAGGAACAGAGAGTGTTTGGATCTTTACACAAAGCTTAGCATATCCCACCACCTCTTTATTTTCTTTTCCTTTTTCTTTTCCATCAAACAAGAAGAAACCTCTGAAGGAATACCTCCTCTCTGTGACATGCCATGTTCACAACCACTGTGCTTCGACAGTTTTGGGCCTTCCTCACCATCTTTTTAGCATTCTCTTGATCTCTGAGGTTTCTATTGGGTTAGGCTATGGAAAGCACAATTCAAAGCCCATATATTGTGACACTGAGGTCTAAACCCACTCTAACCAATATTTATTGGGGTTGTCCAGCCTGAGGCCCATGTGCAATTGTGAAAAATATACGAATCTGCAAAAAAATCCCTAGTGGTAAAAAAAGAAAAAATCTGGCTACATTTTTTTTACCGTACAGTATATTTGAAACACATCTCATCCCAAATATGAGAAAAGTTTTACACTCCTACTCAAAATTATTTTTACTGTACACTATTGGTATGTAACCCCAAAATCTTCCCAAGAATAACTTCCAAAAAAAAAAAAATCTTCCCAAGAAAGTGAGAGAAAATCGACTACAGAGACACCGCGCGGAGCAGAGAACAGAGCCGGACTAGGGTTTTACGGCGCAAGCCCACACCAGGTGAACCCTCAATTAGCATTCTTTCCGCTGTTTATTTTGTAGTTTTTTTTTCTTCTCATTTCTAAGTGTTCCAAATTCGCTTCATTTGTTTTCTCTATCTACAATATGTATGCATATATACAGAATCACACATATCACACACTGATACACACACAATGATTTTTTGTATTGCAGGAGACATGGCGGATGGGTACTGGAATCGACAACCGCCTCTGCATACTTCAGCTGGCATGCTCAAGCGACATCATTCTGATTATGGTAAGAACACTTTTTGATTTCATGTGTGCGTCTGTATATGTACTATATATATGTATGAATGTATGTATTATGGTAATTGCTTACTTTGATTCCACACATGTTCCTATGTGAATTTTGGGTTGCTGTACTGCATTCAAGTGAACCATGCGAACCTAAAATGTATGAAGGATTAGTTGCTGGACATTTTCTAGGAACCCAAAAGTTTGCAGCTGTAAATTTGGTTCAGGAGCTGACTAGTTAGGGCTACACGCACATGCACACACAGAAGGGTTAGTTAGAAATGTTGAAGTATGGCCTAGCCAGTCTTCACCGTAAAAAGAGGCATCATCCAGAAATAATTGAATGTGTTCTTGATGCTACTACTTGTTGGCATTTATTCCAATTTGCAGAAATTCATAAGTCAACATGAGTCTATACTCTATAGTCTTGTTTGGTTTTCTGTCATCTAAATTCCCATAGTTTTGTCATAAATGGTTAAAAAAACAGTAATTCTCTTGATGGGTTGGTATAATGTGTAGTTTGCAATGTTAAAGTTGCATATTATACAGCAAAATGCAAATGCTCCTTTTTTTTTTTTTTTGTGTGTGTGTGTGTGTGTTTATAAAATTATTTAATTTAGTTTTTTGGGTGGGGAGGGAAATTGATATATATCAGTTTGGGAGAGTTCAAATCAGTCCGCATTTTTATGAGAAAAAGTGTTACGAAAATTCCTGATAAGGCCATAACGTCCTTCTTTTATATGGTAATTTTAATAAGTGAACTTATTTGCTATCAACATTTTGACATTCAAATTAAAAGAATCCAAGTGATATGTTATCCAACATATCAAAGGATATATACCACTAACATTAGCACTGCCAGGAGACTGCTTATTGCAGTACCCAAACCTGTTTCTGTACTTTATTGTACTCAGTGCGCTGCTCTCTTTCTATTTTTTTTTTAACCTTTTAGTTTAATGGTGCAATCTACTCATTTAATCTTTCTGTTATGTGCTTTTGTTCATTTTATTTAAGTTGAAACTTGTTTTTGCTTTCTTAACTCTGTGCACTAAAACCTTTTCTACATTAAAGATTTTTATTTTGCTATCCAAGTTTGGGTAGAAGTTGAAAGTTTCCTAAAAGGAGATTCAGAGTTCGGATGTGATTGCTGCATGCCTGCGGCTTGCTGTCTTCAACTTTTGTATTATACTTTTGAGAACAATTATTTTAGTTTGGTTGCTGTAATGTGGGACATGGGATTCTCAATTTTTTCAAATTACTTTTCTCCCTTTAATTTTTATACGCATCACTTTCCATAGTGTTTGTTGGACACCTTATGTGCAAATTTACAAGAGAATTGTTTGTCGTAATCCATTCCATTGCATTTCTTCTCTGATAAAAACATATTCTTTGTTACCTTGCTTGCAAAATTACGATTGAATTCTCTTTATAACAGGTGATCTCTAGAGTAATGAAACTTTTGTTAGATAGTTACATTTTGGATAATATAAGCATTTTTTTAGGATTTTACTCTCTTCTAAAGACACTTGTAGGATTGTTTATGATGATTCCTAAACACTGTTACTTATTGCAAATAAATTCCTCCTCCGAAAGCTCTAGCAGGTTTAAATATTGAACACCATAATCCTAACTTGGGGCATGTTTAAGCTATCAAGAAACTGTAGTCATTCCAAAATTTTGGAAGTAGTTTATGGTATCAAAAAATCGATCACTTTCTTTTTCAAGATTTAGATTTCAGATTTTTAAAATATCTCAAAAACTATTTCTATTACTCAACTTCTTTTTTCCTTTTTTTGGTGGTTAAAAATTTGAGGAAATAGCGTTTATCAAGTTGCCCTTTGCAGTGTTTTTTTTTTTTTTTTCTTTGTACAAAAAAAAAGAAATTAATTAAATGATTTAATAAAGACCATCAAAATGGGGAAAAAAGCCCGCGCACATATAGTGTCTACAGGGGAAACAAAAACTAAGCACCATTTTGGAAACTAAGGCCACTAAAGATCTCTATAATACAATATCAAGAAATTGATTATTCTTCTCTACTAAATAGCTGTTATTTTGATCTTCAATTTTACTGAATTTTTCATTAATGTATTTCCAACAATAAGATCTGATTGGAATGAATATATTTTTATAAATACATAATATGAATGACTGTTAGGTCATCAAAGATTTTTGGTGAAGTTATCAAATATGAGTACTAATTTTGGGATTGTGTTATTTCCTTTACTTTCACTGCTGTCTCCTCCCCTGTTGCATGTTGCTCTGCCGCCTCTCTATTAGTGTCACAACATTTAGTTGATGAGTCTCCTTCAGCATCAGATGAAGGTCATGGTTGAAGATTTCTTCTCTTTGCTTCCCTCCCCTTCCCCTTCTTTTTTTTTCCTTTATTAGTTTTTATAGATTGTTCAAGAATTGGAAGTAGTTGGAGAAAAACTGTGAGGTCAGAAAATAAATGTAATTGATAAATTAGGATAGGGTTTTCAACTTTTCCTTGTAATTTGCATTACTTCTCTGAGTCCTCTATCTTTTTGTCTCTCTCTCTTAATTATGCTCCATTGATTAATTTTTCTGCTCCTTCATTTTCATAAATACCTTTAATGTTGATAATAATTCTGGTCAAAACTTCCCTCAACAAAGACTTACCCAACCGTATGGGATGGTTGCATGAATCTTATTTTCCCATTCAACTTTGATAAGGCCATAACTTCAATTAAATCAAATGTTAAAATTTTTACTCTGATAATGCCCAAAATAATCTCATTAAGTGAAAACAATTCTCTCTAGACTCCACTTCCTCTCTCCAGAAGTCTTAAGTGGTAAATTGTTTTTGTTCTTCTCAGAAGGGTGGTGTGAGTTGTATTTATCAGGAAGAGCCTTTTCTTGTGTCAATTCAATTGATTAAATTGGCTTTCGAAGTCTCATTGTATCAGCTGCATCTCACTCAGATTGTCGAATAGAGCTTATACCTTGTTGGAGGAAAGATGCTTTTGAAGTAAAAGGGGGAATTAGTTGTCAAACTTTATTGGAAATTTTAAGTGGTGCTCCAGTATCAAATTACATGAATTGCACCTAACCCTCTAATATTTACCTGGCCAACCTTACTTCCAGACATTTTGGCTCTGTTGGTTATTATTCTTTTTTTTTCCTAAGCCAAATTTTTATTAACAACCAAAACAGCAGGCTACAATCAGAGAACAGAGAGGCGTGCCTCCCATATACATTTCTATCTGACTTGATTAATACTATTTTCTTCATTCGCTGCTCTTTTATTTTTTATAGCATTAGATTTGATATTTACATACTTCTGTCCTTTTCATTCTCTTAACTTGATCTCACGTTTTCTTTTATCAAAAAAAATAAAAATAAATAACTTGATCTCACGCTTTCATTCTCTGCTGTTATATTGATTTGATATCTTCTCATTCCTTACTTCAGGTGCTGTTTCTTTGCTTAACTGTTCTATGCAATATCTGCAGAAATTTTGAAGATTTAGATTTTTAGTTCTATTTTATAAGTGCAAATTGTGCAGACATCTAACATAAAGTGGACAAGAAGAAAGTGTTAACTACCATCTACTCTAAAAGCCTAAGCTGTTAGAGAGGCTGTAACTTTAATATTTAAATCCTTCAACACGTCCCCTCATGTGTTGCCTTCTTTTGGTCTAACATGTGATTTTTCAATTTTAATTAGGGTGACGGTGAGGTTGAACTCGAGACCATTGGCTCTGATACCATGTTAACTACCATCTACTCTAAAATCTTAGGCTGTTAGAGGGTGTAACTTTAATATTTAAATCCTTCAACAGAAAGTTCCTTCATGCTTTGGAAGAAGCTTAAAAAGTCTTTCATTAGTGCCACTGCATAACTATATCATAATGCCAAACAATATATAGAGTAAGTTGGATTTTTCGTGTATTTTTCCAACGATTTCAGATCTCCCACCTTCTGGGGTGCCTTCAGCTCATGAGATGCATAACTATTTAGCACGAGATGATGATCATGGTGGGCCTCGGGTAGTAAAAGACACACAAACTATTGAAACAGCATATGACCGCTATCTCAAGAATGCAGTATCCTCTTTAACCTTTAATTTATGTTTTCTCTCTCCGCCATTAATCTACCTGTTTGTGATTAAAGATATTCTTCCCATTGCTTTTGTAGCAACTTCCTTCTTATACTTCTGGGGAAGATAATAATTTTGGCGGAGTTGCGTTAGGAAGGGCTGTTGGTGGTCGAAGGGCTGCTCTTCCAGATGCTGATCCAGTTGTGATGGGTCGTTCTAGTGTTGCTGTTCCTGATCTAGCACCAAATGGTCGAGGCATGGATTTTGGTGGCCAGCTCCCAAGGGATGCAATGGCCAAGCTGGGTCGTATAACAGTGCCTCTTCCTCCAGATGCTTCCAATACTATATATGTTGAGGGACTTCCTCCCAACAGCACAAAGAGAGAAGTAGCTCGTATCCTTCAACGTGTTATATGGCAAAAGAATTAACTGATATTTGTTTGCATCTTTTCAAATGCTGATGTTGCTTCTTATTGTTCAAGTTCCTTTACGTTTTTTATAGATATTTTCCGCCCTTTTGTTGGGTATAAAGAAGTTAGAATTGTGAGCAAGGAATCCAAGCATGTAAGACAATTGTGAATGTTAGTTAACACTCGAATGTCCTGGTTGTCTCTTAGTTACTGACTTTGATTTTTTCAGAAGTGTGGCTTTCTTCATTAAGACTCTGTTAACCTATTTTGCAGCGTGGTGGAGACCCTCTTATTCTTTGTTTTGTGGATTTCATAAATCCAGCATGTGCGGCAACTGCTTTGAGTGCCTTGCAAGGTGATTGCTTTTCCCATTTCCTTTTGATGATGACTATATTGACAGTTTTTTCTTGCTTTACTTTACATGATAAGTTACCAGTCCCTTAGACTGAGAGAGGTCAAGTTCTGAGTCAGTATAGACTATTAGTGCTTTGGTCACAAGGGTTGTGAGCAAGAAACCAATGAGCTAGACCGTGAGCACAAGACCTTTAATATATTAGGGAACTTTTAAGGGCAGGAGCTATTTTTTTCCTATTTCTTGCTTGTTTAGAGTAAAGCGCATTTTTTATTCATCCCCTATTATAATAATACGTGTATGGTAATAAATAGTAAAAACCCCATAGAGTTGATATTTTCCAAGACATGATGACTAATTAACAAATCTTGGGGTTATGCTACTGTTTTTTATTAAGAATTTCTAAGTATAAATTGTAAAAAGTGATAGAAAGAGAGACCATAGAGTAGGAAAAAAAAGGAAGAAAAATTAGATATTTGATTCTTAGTCAAAGAAAATAAAATTAAAGAGTGAAAAAAATCAATAAAGGGAAGGAAAGAATTAAAAAAATGAAAAAAAACTGAAACAACAACTATATTTGATAAACCACTATGTAAACAACATTTTTGATTAATTTTTTCATCCAATGCACACAAATTGAATGATAGATAATATATGTTTGGAATGTTATATATATTATATTTGGTCAGATCAGATTATTATTGGGTTGGATCTTTAACGGATTATTTGAGTAAATATTCAATCTGTATTCGAATTATCGGACTGGATTTGGATCAAAATACAATCGGTTGATGGGCCTAGTAGGAATGTTTGACTAAAAGAGTGATCATGAGATACTTACCAAAAAAAAAGAGTGATTATGAAATAATATATCTTTTTGAGATGACTTTAACTACTGCATTGGCAGTTGTAGAGATGCCTGGAGATTTTGATTCTCTTGTTGAATTATACAGGTTATAAGATGGATGAGCATGATCCGGGTTCTTCATACTTGCGGCTGCAGTTCTCAAAGCACCCAGGTCCAAGGTCTGGCTCTGGTCCTCGTGGAAAGCGGTAAAGTGGCTGAATGCAATGTCAATCCGCTGGTACATATCTTCACACACACACACACACACACACACACACACATATATATTTTCCCCAAAGGTTTCTTTCTATGGTGTACTGTTATCAAAAAGGGAAAAATAGGTGTATTGTACTTGGAACGTGCAATTTAGATTGCTCAACTTTAGCTATATACCGTCCGTGAACAGTTTTGTGGATGTGTGGAAGTTGAAGTGCGGTTGAAATAAATTTTATAGTAAGATTACGGAATCAAACAAATGGAATTTCCCCAGATTATGAAATGATTGTTGTATGATAATCTAGTGTGCCGCTAGATTTTCACAAAGCAACCCTAAATTTGGTGCTTATAAAATAAGTAATGCTTTGTACATAGTTGAACTTGCATGATGACCTATGGCATGACATGTCCTTGTATTTTCCTGCATAAGATTGTTGTATATTTAAGACTAGGACTGATTGAGCACCACACATCAAAGGGAAAGTATGTTGAACACGCTAGTGCTGGGTGGCTGTGATGAAGATGATGTTTTCCATGTCTTTGCTGCTCTTTTTCTGATGCAAATATACGTCAACAATGGACTTTTTAACTTGTAAGACAAGATCTAAGCTATTCTAGCAAGTCTTTGGATAAAGCAATAATATTAAACATTTCAGTTACTCTTCTTTGCACTTTGAATATATATGTGTGTATATATATATATCAGTGGTCATTTCTTTCAAACATAGAGTGATTCAAATTTGAAAAGTAAACCTGGTTGGTTTTTTTATTATTATTATTTAACCAGCTAGCATCTACTATAGATATTTGTTCATGGGCCCATCTGTTTTGCTTTTGTATGTTATTGAATTGGCAAAGTCCATGAGGTTTTTTTTTTTTTTCTAATTCCATGAGGCAGCTAATATTAAAAATGCCAATTGGGTCCTTTTACAGGGCTTGTATATTCTACAATTATTGTAATCTATAATTGCTTAGTGTTTTCTTGTTGAGTTGTGTTATGCACACGTCACAAAATGTGCAAGCTCAACTCTTGGATCACTTGAATCTCACAGTTACAGGGGGTCCGCATGATTCAAGGGTCGAACTAGTGTAGTCTCCACTGCATTTAGTATTCTCCATTTTTATTTCGTTTATTTTGTTGACGAGAATCTTTTATTTAAAATAAGCATTCTATCAAATCAGAAAAGCTGTAGGAATGATAGAGGAATATAGCTGACGACACAGTTACAATTATAATTTGACAAAAATGATCTTGTTACATAGGTCAATCCTCTTTATTATTTTGATTATATTGTTATTAGTTTTACTTATTTATTCATGCACTCACTACCAGAAGTATTTTTTTACTTTGTCTGATATAAGCTAATGTAGTAGTATTTTATTCGCCTCTCAATCTTCTTTTCATGACAACTTTCAAGCATATACCTGAAAATAAGCATTATATTATGTAATGTACATATAATTAGATTTGGACAGGTAAGCACCATGTTCTGAGATTTTTTAATAATTATATAATATAGTGACTGAGAGAGAGAGATGAATGAGCACAGATACAGACACGATCCGACACACGTCAAATTTTTTTAAAAGAAAGTAAGACAATATACGGCGTAGACACAGCTACATATAAATATAAAATTTTATTTTTATACATCAATTTAGTAATAATATTATAAAATTTTAATTCATTTATAATTTATATACTAAGAGTTGCTCTGAAATGAATTATAAAATGAAATTATGTCATTATTGTAATAATTTTTTTATTGTATATATCATTATTTTAGAAAGTGCCAGTGAAGTGTCCGGAAAATGCCAATTAAGTGTCCGAAAAATTTCAGCGAAGTGTAAAATAATAAAATTAATTTTTATTTATGAACATATATATAAAGTGTCGGACACGTATATAAGGAGTATATACCAAACGACTTCGTAAAAGCATCCATGTTTCTTAGATGAGCACCGTCCGGGATGCTCGTGCAGAGAAGACAACATGGAATGGACGAAACTTTGCCACGCAATGGCATGTACTCTATGGAACAGGGACATCTCCCCAGAAACAGTCTTTGATTTGTTGAGTTAATTCCAAAAGTACTTTACGCTTTGTTGAGCTGATTTCATTCGTTTTTAGTACACACTCGGAATTATTGGAGTTCTTCAGCATAAATAATTAATGTATTACGAAAATGATACAAATGGTTTTTTTTTTTGAAAAACAAAAAAAAGGTCTGAAAGACGAGGAGTCACATTCACACAATAACACAAACATTCACACAAGTCACACGAGCCGAATCACACGGCACTTGTTTGACTTCCCTTCCCTTGCATCCTCTCAACCTAACATCACCCTTCAACCACAGCTGTAAACTTTTATATATACAATGTAATACATACATATATATATATATATATATATATATATATATATGAAAGATTTGATCAAGAACCAAGATTATGATATTCTCCCACCCTTTTTATAAGCTTGTCTCATATCAACTAGTTTCCGATTATTGTAACTATTATATAAACAAATGCATACTCATGTTTATAAAATTGGGACCAAGCCATTACAAAATACGTAGTATTATCTCCAAGACAATAAAGTTCAGTTGCACAAGATTTTCGTCTTTGCAGGGTTTGAAAAAGTTCAGATATAAGCAATTTTGTCTCTGTATGGATAGACTATTTTTGATTTCAAACTCAATGGAACAACTTTACTGTTGCGCCAAGGTTCACCCTCAAGATAATAATAAAGTCCAGTTACACAGGATTTTTGTCTTTACAGGGTTTGAAGAGATTCAAATATAAGCAACTTTATCTCTATATGGAGAGATTATTTTTGACTTCGAACCCATGACTTGTAGGTCACAATGAAGTAACATTATTGTTACGCCGATCCACCCTCAAGATAATAACATATACTCCATAGTCTCCATATATATATATATACACACACACACGATTCCGTAGAGGGGCATGTACCATAGAAGTGCAGCTAATTCCTAACTTTTTCGTGTTTTGAATTCTTCTTAATTTCTCTTAACTGAGGTTTTTTCTAACCATTATTGGACCAAATGTTCATTAATAACATATATAGACTGACTTTAAGTATGTTATCCTCTATAAAAATCTTCTAGATTGTAAAGTCTTGTACGATTCATCCCCCATTGGCGTACCTTTCTTAGATTTGCATCTTCGATCTACCAAAAAAATAAAAAAATTATTTTCTTCTTTTTTAATATAATTTAATATAGGTGTGTCATTTTGTTAATTAATTGTTATTGTCATTGACATATATTGGTTGTGATGAACATGGAGTTGTTAGAATTTCAAGTAATAAAATGCCAGCTCTATTGCATGTGGTGAGAAAATTTTGCTCATACCTCACTTTTTCAAGTTAAAGTTTTCTAGAACAAAAAAAAAGAGGTGAAAGAACATATCTTCTTTGAAGTTACGGTGCCGCTTTGTTTTACTTATTCTCTCTCTACATAGACTATATGTATATGTTTTACTTATTCTCTCTCTCTCTCTCTCTCTCTCTCTCTCTCTCTCTCGACAGAGACTATATGCATATGTTGGTTCAGTCTTTAACTACTCTTCTTTTTTATGTGAGTGATTACATCAGTGTCTCAATGCCGAGTCAGCTCTCATGCAAAAGAACCAGCCTTAAGAGGTATCACCGACTCCAGGCTTGACCAATTCTGAATTATTGTTTCGGGGCATTATATATATATATATATATATATATATCTTAGTGTAAAATATTACTTATATGTATATGTGTGATATGTCCCAATATTAATCTGACATATTCATATGCAGCTTGTTATAAATAGTCAAAATTCCATTAAAAAAAAATAATAATAATAAAATAGTCAAAATTGATTGCTCAAATGATACGTAGTATATAATTCCTTCAAAATAAATCATTTGGTAGATGAATCCATTTTTTTTAAAAAAAATAATAATAATTATACATTAAGAAGCTCTGTGTAAACTAATATTTGAAATCATTTACGGGTTTTATAAGTAAAAAAGTTGAAATTCTACTCTCTCTCTCTCTCTCTCTCTATTTAGTATAATTTTTTAAGCAATATAACTTCTCACATGTGCTCATTGGAAGTGGAAAATTAGGCGTCCCTTTTATTTTTTCTTTTTGTGATTAGCTAGTAATTTCGGTAAAATGTAAAACTTTTCATCGACGTGTCCAATCATTAGATAGAAACACTTTAAAAAGAGAGAAATTATCTAATTAACTACATGACTTTGTTGAACACAAAACCGAACAGACATTATAGCATTACTCATAGTTTAATAGGAGCTCATTAGTTGTCCAAAATATGAAGATGAACTATATCTGAGGGAGGCTACTACTTGACTGTAGAGTTATAACAAGCAAGATATATATATACATATATATATGAATGTTTTACATTCTGCAATAGTAACAGCTAGGCCTAGGAGGGAGAAAGGGTTATATAATTTCTATTACTTTTGAAAAGTCAAGGTAGAAATTTGAAATTTTCTTAAATTATATCTTTTAGGTTTTTTTTTTTTTTTTAAAGTAATGTAAAATTTTAAAAAGTTAAAGTAGGCACAGAAGTAGCATAAAAACAAGAATGTGAAAAAAGCAAATGAACTCATTACCTTTATCCTAGCTAGGACAAATCAATGAAACAAATTAAAGCCATGCAAATAGTGAAAATGACATTATATTGATATAAATTAAGTACATACACATATACATATATATATATAGAGAGAGAGAGAGAGTATAAAGTCCCAGCCGCCTGGTCCATGTCCCAACAAATTCATGGAAAAATTAGGCATATCCCCAAACTCATTTTCAAAGTCTTCTATGAATAAAGTACTCTCTCTTTGATTTATTGCATTAAAATGGTTAAAAAAAATACTTTATATATGACATTACTTTATTCCATTGCCTATATCAAAGCAAAACAATACCTACTCTCAATTTATATTAATGCGAAAATTAATAACAACCACCCATTCAACAAGATTGAAATTTAGGTTATTAATTACTAAGATTAAATAGTGTTTACCATGATTGGTTTGAGTGTTAAAATGGTAAAAGACCAAATCTATATAAAGGGCATAGAGGGTTGCTTAAGAACATAACCAAAGTGCCCATTTTTTGTAGTGAAAATGGGAACAAAAGTGAAGGGGTCTAGAATGGCCTCTTTCATCACCACTCTTTTAGTGGTGATAGTGTCTCTCAGCTTGCCATTAGATACCAATGCAAACTACCATTACTCATCTCCGCCACCACCACCGCCTCCCAAGAAGTCTCCACCACCACCAAAACATCATTACCACTACAAGTCGCCACCACCACCTCCTCCTCCAGTTTACTCACCACCACCACCAAAGAAGCCCTACAAGTACAAGTCTCCACCACCGCCACCGGTTTACAAGTATAAGTCTCCACCACCACCTCCGCCGGTTTACAAGTATAAGTCTCCGCCACCTCCACCCAAGAAACCATACAAGTACAAGTCTCCACCCCCACCACCAATTTACAAGTCTCCACCACCACCACCTCCTGTTTACAAGTCTCCACCACCACCCAAGAAACCTTACAAGTACAAGTCTCCTCCACCACCTCCTGTCTACAAGTCTCCACCACCACCTAAGAAACCATACAAGTACAAGTCTCCTCCACCACCACCGGTTTACAAATCCCCACCACCCCCTCCTCCAGTTTACAAGTCTCCACCACCACCCAAGAAACCCTACAAGTACAAGTCTCCTCCACCACCCCCGGTCTACAAGTCTCCACCACCACCTAAGAAACCGTACAAGTACAAGTCTCCTCCACCACCACCAGTTTACAAGTCCCCGCCACCTCCTCCTCCAGTCTACAAGTCTCCACCACCACCACCACCCAAGAAGCCCTACAAATACAAGTCTCCCCCTCCACCGCCCTACAAGTATAAGTCTCCTCCACCACCGCCGCCGACCTACAAATCACCACCACCACCCCACCATTACTATTACACTTCACCACCTCCTCCTCCTCACCACTACTAAGTAATGGCTCTGGTTTTATGGTAAGCTCAACTAAATAATTAATGTAATCAAATTAACTAAACCATATAATTATATATATATATAATGAATAGTGCTAATTTTCTAAGAATTGACAGAAACACGTTATGTTTTCTTGCAGGAAAATAGAGCATTTAAATAAACGAATCGATTTACGGGTTGCTGCATGCATTGTAGGGAGAATGAAAGCGATCGAAGAAGATTAAGATCGAAGAAGAATAAAAAGCTCAACATGAAGAGGGGTTCATGATCAGTTTCATGTTGATGGTTGTAGTTCAAAAGCTCTCATTGCATTCTGTATTATTTTGTGAGATAAATCGGTTTATGTGTGAAATTTTTGACCTTTTGACAAGTGCAAAAGGTCATTTACATAATGAATAATCAGATTTCTTTAAATAATATATCCTCTGTTTTTTAATTTGTTGTTTTTATGATGTCTTTTCTTTATGTTCAAATGGTCAATGAGCTTGTAGATTGTGTGTGTATATCATAGCTAGTCCACGCGAACGAACGAAATCGGTTACTCTAATTGTGAACTTTTTCAACTTCGCATATAAGACTCAAAATTCACCAATACCCAATATTTATTTATTAATTTTTTGTATAACATAATTGAAAAAATAAATTTTTACCCATTTTTATGAAATCATATTTAACAAAGGTACGTTTATGATATATTCTTGAATTTTAAGTCATTGCATGTGGTTAATCAATAGGCTTAGTATTTAAAATTTTTATGAAATTAATGAATAAAAATAAATTCAATCGTATATAAAATAAATCAAAATTTTGATAGCACATATAATATATATGTGATAATCAAATCACATGCAAAAAATAAATAAATTTATTTACATATTATTTATGATCAATTTTCATTATGTTGTCTCTAATAGTACCTAAAGGACGAGTTTATTTATTTATTATTATTAAGGCAATAGAATAAATGAGAATGCATGTTCAGTGAGAACCTTATTAAATACAGAGTAAGAAGGGCGAATAAGAATAATGCTTTCAGAAAAGCTCCCTTAAAACAAGAGTTATGAGCTTTTGATATTTAATTATTGGAATAAAATAGTTATATATATATATATACATGTGTGTGTGTGAAATGTCAAATGAATCATCTAATACATTTTTTTGATCCCGTAATTAGATGTGGAGAGTTCATAATTCTTGTTGAGAAAAATCGTTTAATAGCATATATTAATTGAATAATTATACAACCCCATGCTTTGTTGCTACTATATGTATTTTTCAGACATTAAGTACTTGAGTCTAAAATGTGATGTTTCTCATGTTTAAGTCACAAGTTTTCCTTCATAATTATTACATTTTAAGCACAAAAAATAATACATGACACACACCATCATATTATTCATATTAAAAGAAAATCTGGCCCAAATGCTTTAAATATATATATATATATATATATATATTGCATGCAATTTGTGCAATAATGGAACTTCTATCTTATCTATACTTTGACTAAGTTTTAATAATTAAACTGTTATACTTAATTGACTAGTTTGTGTGATATATATATATATATATATATATATATATATATATATATATATATATATTTCCAAATCGCACACTGATCTTGTTCTGTTTAGCGTTCTCTTAGTTTTGTCAGGTTAAAAAACACAAGTGTAGCTATGCCGGCCGGCTTAAGACTGTGACACACCGACAACAATAACCATTTTTAGTTTAAAATTAACTTGACCTAATTAAATGCAGATTTCTTCTTGTTTAAGAAAATTCAAAACATGTAGAAATAATAAATTAATTAACCTAACCATTTTTTTATTAAAAAATATCCTGTATTTGTAGAATTTGTGTTAACTTCTTATTCCTCCATTTAGTAAGACAACGTTTTATTAAAAATACTAAAAATAGTATATGTTTTATTTTTACCGTTATTGAAGCCAAACCAAATGAGAAAGTCTAGAATACCCCTACTAGTGGAATTGAATATTCAATATGCCTCCGTGCTTCGTACCTCTCCACGAGTCCCCCACCTCACCCTTTTTTTTTTTAAGCACCTCCCCAATCACGATGAAGTGTACAATAATTCGGGAAATATTTTGACAAAAGTGAATAATTTTTAAAAGTAATAATAATGTTCTCAAGAGAATTTCTTTGTGGAAAGAGTCATAAACTCTGATTGAGCATTTTTTGAGATCTGTAAAAATTTAAATGAATTATTTTAATACATCTTTTAATTCAATAGTTAAAATGGAGTGCTTGAGGTGAATCAGTTCTCATAATAACATTAGGTTAGCCAAAGTCTCAGCAACCGAAATAAAGAAGGGATGCCGGCACTGCTTTCTCTCTTTTTGTTGTTAATAGTTCAAACAGAAATAATTACAGAGTCTACTTGGTTCTATTTTTCAAAAAAAGTATTTTTCAAAATTTCAAAAGATAAAAAAATTAATTTTTGAGAACTATAAAATACAATTATTGGAAAACAAATATTTTCAATAATTGTCAACCAAAAAATTTTTTTTTTTAATTTTTAGTTGTCAAAAACTTAAATCAAGCAACCCTATTCTTTCCCTTCTGTTTTCCTTTCTTCCATACACGAATTATGTATTTATGTTTCTCTCTCTCTCTCTCTCTCTCTCTAACTTCTGTCTATATTTTATTCTCTTTAATTTTCTCTCTCTACATCCAAGTATAATAGGAAAGGAGGTCAACTTGATACAAATTGAGACCTAAGCTAAAAAATTAGCTAGGAGGCTTCTTAATATTTTACATTTTATATTTTAGTTAATTATAAGTTTAAAAGAAGAAAAAAGGACAATAAACAAGTGAGAATAAGTCTCGAAGCATAAAAAAAAAGTACAATGAAGTTATTTTACATGCTTTAATGATTATGGCCATCTGATATTAAATTAAACTGCTGCTTAAGAGAAAGATTAGTTTATACACAATATTTGGTTTTTATTTAACGAGGTGAAACTGCAGTTTATTTTCGCACACATCTTTTTTTATGATTTTTGTCCAAATGTGTGTGAATGTGACTGTATCCTGCAAGGCTGTAAGACATAGGTATATAAAAATGTATTTTTCGGTAAATATATATATATATATATATATATATATATATATATATATATATATATATATATATATTTGGATAATTGAGTATAAAGTTTATAAACATAAAAGTTAATATAAAGCACCAAGCAGTGAATTACATAAATGTCCTGAAAAAAAAAAAAAAAAATTACATAAATGTCTACTGATAGTAGATTTATTGAATATATATATATATATATATATATATATATATATATATTCATATATTCATGGTCATCTATGCATACATGTGTGCGTCTATTAATTAATCCAAGATGTTCAATAAATCTACTATCAGTAGACATTTATGTAATTTTTTTTTTTTTTCAGGACATTTATGTAATTCACTGCTCATACGTAACGACTTTGAAGAAAAGGAAAAAATTTAAAATTAAGCTGGGACACGATAGCAAAGTGGACGTTGATTGAAGGAAGCTCCCTTAAAACCAGAGTTGATACCTTTCCATATTCAATTATTGGATTAAAATAGTTATATATAATATGTGAATGGGTGAAATGTCAAATTAATTATATACATTTTTCGATCCCGTCTTTAAATGTAAAGAGCTCATAATTCTTGTCGAGATAAATCATTTAATAATATTACTTGGCAAATAGTACAACCCCATGCTTTGTTGGCTATTATATGTATTTTTCACACATAAAGTACCTGAGTCTACAATATTTCTCATGTTTGAGTCACAAGTTTTCCTTCATAATTATTACATTTTAAGCACAAAAAATAATACATAACACGCACCATCATATTATTCATTTTAAAATAGTCTCATTATAAAAAGAAAAACCGTCGGAAATGCTTTGTAAAAAAAAAAAAATCACACAAACTAGTCAATTAAGTATAATAGTTTAATTGTTAAAACTTAGTCAAAGTATAGATAAGATAGAAGTTCCATTATTGCACACATTGCATGCTATATATATATTTCCAAATTATACACTGATGTTGTTCTGTTTAGCGTTCTCTTTGGTCCGTTTACTAACGCTTTCACTTTATTACTTTTGCTTTTTTCAAAAGTAAAATTATGATTTTAATTTTTTAAACTGAAATAGAAAGTAAAATTATGTTTAGTAATATCTCATGTTCATTAAAATTTTGAAAGCAAAATAACAAAATCAACTTTATTAATTATAATTTTGCTTTTATTTTTTACCAATACTGTGCACCCAGTTCTTTTTTTTTTTTTTTTTTTTTTTTTTTTTTTTTTCACCTACATACCCAGCTCTATCATCTACCAATCCCCATCCCCAATCCCCAGCAATCAAACATTGCAAAGTAGGCCTCATAAAAGGCATCAAAATAGCCGATTTAATTCATACTCTTTGAACCCTGCTGTGAGAGGGAGATTCCTAGTCTTAAAAGCCACGGGAATTACGCCACAGAGGAAGAATGTTTGGTTGTGTAAAAGGTAGATGAGTTTGGGAGTTCTGCTAGTGGTAATTCCGGGAACGAGGTTAGGGACAGAGTAGGGGGAGCTGTTGAAACTTTGAGGCTCAATAGCTAAATACATGGCAACTGAATCATGAACCGAGATCATAAAGAGCATACTACGAGTAGACCATCCCCAGTTCAGTTCAGGTTCGCAATTGCTCCAATCAGAATGTAAAAAAAAAAAAAAAAAAAAACTCCGATCCTGCCACTGTGCAGTCTCAGATCGGTAATCAAATCAGAAATCTCAATCCATTATTTTCAAACCCATAACTGTCACCGAAACTCCTTTGCCGCAACAACCACGTCAGTGAGTTTAGGTGTCATAACACGATCATAGCCATAGCCAATTGGATGAGCCTTTTGTCGTTGTCGTCACTGCGGAATCTTTTATCGTTGTATTCGTTGTTATTGTGTGCCTAACTCTTTGATTTTGTGCTAAGGATTCAATGGTAAGAAAACAGAGGGAGGAAGATAAGGGATTTTGTCCTGAGGATGAAAGAGACAAAAAAATTCAGATTTGAGGAAAGCATAACTTACCTAAGTCCCATAATCTCCGATATGATGGTCACCGGCGATGTCAATCGGCGAATCATCTTTGTCGGAGTTGCCCATCTGGTGGCCATCGTGGTGGTACATAGGAGAGATAATACCGAGTATTGTTATAAACGGCCAAACAGAGCGTCGTTTAAGTTCTGCTATAGTAGCGGAAGTAATTCCTCCGCTACAGTGGAGAAAACAAGAAAGTGAATATTCAATTCGGGAAATATTTTGACAAAAGTGAATAATTTTTTTAAAAAATAGTAATGTTCTCAAGAGAGTTTCTTTGTGGAAGGAGTCAAAAACTCTGATTGGAGTATTTTTTGAGATCGGTAAAAATTTAAATGAATTATTTTAATATATTTTTTAATTTGCTAGTTAAAATGGAGAGCTTGAGGTGAGTCAATTCTCGGCCTTTCATGATAGCATTATTCCAAAAGAAATGTTCCCTTATGAGTTATGATAGACTGGCCAAACTCTCAACAACCGAAATAAAGAAGGGAGATCAACTTGATACAAATTGAGATCTAAGCTAAAAAAATTAGCTAGGAGGCTTCTTAATATTTTACATTTTATAGTTTAGTTAATTATAAATTTAAAAGAAGAAAAAAGGACAATAAACAAGTGAGAATAAGTCTCCAAGCAAAAAAAAGAAGTACAATGAAGTTATTTTACATGCTTTAATGATTATGGTTATCTTATAGTAAGTTAAACTGCTGCTTAAGAGAGAGATTAGTTTAACTATACACATAAAAGATTTGGTTTTTATTTAACGACGTGAAACTGCAGTTTATTTTCGGTATATATATATATATTTGGGTAATTGAGTATAAACATAAAAGTTAATATAAGAACATCTTGGATTAATTAATAGACGCACACGTGTATATACGATGGCCATGAATATAGAAATATGTATATGATTTCATACGTAATGACTTTGAAGTTGCTGTCTGACGACTTGAGAAATGAAAAAACTTGAAATTAGGCTTGGACACGATGACAAAGTGGACGTTGATTGAAGGAAAATTTAGGAAAGAAAAAAAAAAAGGACAGAAAAAAAAGATTGATTTTTGGATATTTATCAATCAATCATATTACGCACAGGACAAGGAAATGATATGATATGATGGGTTCCACTGCAATGATAGTCTTCTATTGCCAATGAACGGTCTCGATTCTCAATTAAACAATCTGCGCCCAAGTGATACGTCTATATCTATATATTTATTTATTTATTTTCAATATATATTAGGGTTTTATCATTTGAAGTTTGACAAGTCTGCTTGTAGAAAACGGGGACATTTTACCAACTTGGCTAGCTTCAAAAATTCTCAATCATCTTTTCTAGATCGTTATCCTCCTCAATAATTGAAAATAAATAAATACCACATCACTTCAATTAAATAATTTTATTTTATTTATTTTATTCTTTTTTCTTTTTTCTTTTTTCTTTTTTCTTTTTTTCCCTCCTACACAGGGAACAACGTATGAATACATAACTATTGTGTGGCCCATATGATTGGTGGACCCTACAAGAAGGGTTTTTAGTTGCAATATCCATAATCAATTGTGCTAAAACGGTTCTAACAATAATAGTGTCGTATAATTTTTTTAAAAAAATTTGATATAAAACTCACGACATTGTAACTATTCACGATTCTCTTGTGAAGACTAAATTATTAGTGGCAGGAACGGACTTACATGCAAGTCAAGGGCAATTCCCCCACTGATTTTTTTTTTTTTAATAATACATTCTTATAATTTGTTTATTTTCAATAATACACTCATAAAATATTACTTTTGCCACTCCTAAAATTACTAAAAAAATGCATTATTGTTCTCCCAAAATTATTTGTTGTCCCCCTTACCTTACATCTGGCTCCGTCCTTGATTGATGGGCTCCACATTGAAGTTGTGAATAGTGACAATATTCGTAGTCGAATGCAATATTACTAAACGAATAATGTGTGTAATATGTACGATATGATTTAAAGCGCTAGCTGAACTATCTTATACTTATTAGAGAATTTAATACAATACGGCTGTTAGTTCAAAATTTTATTATTTAATTAAGGTTTTTTTATATTTTAATAAAATTTAGAAGAATCTAATCCAAACTATTAAGCAAATCAATGCATATAATTTACAAAAATGATTTAAAATAATCCGACATGCATGTGGTGATGAGAGAAAAAGATATTCAGTGGGACAATTAAAAAAACAAGACCAGCGAAGGACGAAGTTTATAGAAGTCTTGTAAAGCAAAACAAGAAAAGGAGACAAACCCTCACCAAACCTCTAGCCCCACAATCCACTGAGTCAATGTCTAGTTGTGAGATATGATGAGGCATTTATTTGCATGGACCACCAGTTTGTTTCTTCTTTAGCATGTCAAACACATGTGCACTCTTATATATATATTATTTATATATCTATAATTTATATTAGGATCAGTTTATTAAAAAGTCCTTTTTGTTATGTACATATGTTTTGTGTGGGATTCACAATAAATGATGTCAATCATGAGATAAGTTTTGCTTGGGGAGCAAGATCACACTTATAGCTTATATAGGAAGCTTCATTTTTTAAGCCTATAAATACCATGTATATGGGGACGACCAAAAAAGGAGGTACTGAGAATCATTAAGCTTATATATTTTACTCTTGAGCTCTATTTCTCTCATTATATAGATATACATATATGTGTGTGTGTACGCACTATTATACTGCCTATAACATATAATTTATTACACGTTATCAGCACGAGCTCTATCCATCTGAGATTTGAAGAAGAAGCTTTCTCTCCCTCTTTCTATCCCAACTATATATCTATTTTGTGATATTAGTTTTGATAGATTGTTGGGTTGGTTTGCTTTATCGGATAAAATAATATTTCTGACTCAAAAGGGTAAGGAAATGTTAATTATGGATTATTATTCATAAAATAAATTTGTTCACTTAAATGATATATGTGCTTACACTATGGTCGGTTCTACCACCTTTATTATTTAAATAATTTATATTATGTTATTATCTCATTTAATGTCATTTTATTTTATATACTATGCTAAATTATATTTTGTTGTCACATCTAGTTATTCTGAAAATGTCAAATTTGACAAAGCTGGAATTCGTGACCCTGGATATTTCTGGCAAAAATTATTTATCATGAATTCTGGATGCTCAGATCCATTTGGATGCCATGGGCCTTGGAGACACAATTAAAGAAAAGAATGATGCATCATTGCAAGATAAAGCAAAGGCCATGATTTTTCTCTGGCGCCATATTAGTGAGGAACTGAAAAATGAATACCTCACTGAAAGAGATCCACTTTGTTTGTGGAACAATTTGAAAGACAGATATGATCATCAAAAAACAGTTATCCTCCCAAAGGCCAGGGCTGATTGGCTGCAACTAAGGTTGTAAGATTTCAAAACTGTGGCTGAATATAACTCTGCCCTATTCAAAATCAGCTCTACATTGAAATTATGTGGTGATACTGTTACTGATGAACTTCTATTAGAAAAAACATTCACCACATTTCACGCCTCGAATGTACTCTTGCAACAACAATATCGAGAACGTAGATTTAAAAAATATTCAGAGCTGATATCATGTTTGCTTGTGGCAGAACAAAATAATGAACTTTTATTGAGAAACCACCAGTCCCGTCCAACTGGATCGACACCGATCCCAGAAACATATGTTGCCTCATCCCGTGGTCGTGGACGCGGACGTGGACGTGGTCGTGGTGGTAGAAATGAATATGGTCGTGGCAAAAATAACTACCACAATAATGAATATGGTCGTGGTAGAAATCATTCTTATTATCGTGAAGGATATCAATCCTCACATTTTTGCAATCAGAGAGCCACACCATATCCTCAAAGGAAAGATCATAATGAAATGAGACAAGTAAAAGGGAAGGATGTGGCTCAACCTTCCAAGGCTCATGATAATACTTGCTATCGGTGTGGCATGACAGGGCATTGGCAAAGTATTTGTCGTACACCGAAGCATCTGGCTGATCTGTATCAAGCCTCAATAAAAGAAAAGGGAAAACAAAAGGAAATGAATTTCCTTGATCATGATGAGCCAATTGACACCACAAATCTGGAAATGAATTTCATTAATCATGATGAGCCAGTTAACATCACCAATCTGGATGTATCAGATTTTTTTGATGATCGTGATGGAATGATAGACTTCCTGATTGGTGATAGAAATGTCCACACCAGTTAATCTTATGTTTCTTTTTATGTACTGTCTACTATGCTTTTTGTTGTCCTTGTATTAAAGTTTTTATTTTCTAGTTTGTATTAAAGGTTTTTGTTATAAAAGTTTTTTTTTGATAAAGAAATTTGCATGAATAGGAATGGATCTGACTAGTTCCAAAATAAATGGTGAAGACATATGTCTTGCAGATAGTGGAACAACGCATAAAATCCTTCGAGATCAAAAATATTTTTCTCACTTAACTCTGACAAACGCTAGTGTCAGTACCATATCAGGTCCCACCGACTTGATTGAAGGCTCCGGACGAGCCAACATCATTTTACCACATGGAACTAGATTACAAATCAATGATGCCTTATATTCTACAAGATCTCGGAGAAATCTGCTGAGTTTTAAAGACTTGCGTCATAATGGGTATCATATTGAGACTGCAAATGAAAGAAATGTCGAATATCTCTACATTACTTCCATTACCTCAGGCAAGAAACTGATATTAGAAAAACTCCCTGTTTTCTCTTCTGGGTTGTACTATACAACCACTAGAACAATTAAGTCAAATGTTGTGATCCATAAAAAATCTTGTGACCCAAAACTTTTTATACTTTCGCATGATCGACTTGGTCACCCAGGGAGTACAATGATGCGTCGAATTATTGAAAATTCACATGGTCACCCACTAAATAATCAAAAAAATCATCTTACCAAATAATCATCTATGCACCGCCTACTCACAAGGTAAGTTGATTATCAGACCATCCCCTTCAAAAGTCATTGTTGAGTCTCCTCCATTTTTACAACGAATTCATGGGGATATATGTGGGCCAATCCATCCACCATCTGGACCATTTCGTTATTTTATGGTCTTAATTGATGCATCAACACGATGGTCACATGTTTGTCTACTTTCTACTCGTAATATTGCATTTGCTAAACTTCTTACTCAAATCATCAAATTACGGGCACATTTTCCTGATTACCCAATTAAGACAATCCGTTTTGATAATGCCGCTGAATTTTCTTCTCAAGCTTTTGATGATTATTGCATGTCAGTTGGAATTTATGTTGAATATCCTGTTGCACACACTCATACTCAAAATAGTATGGCTGAATCTTTTATTAAAAGACTTCAGCTAATTGGTCGTCCTTTGCTTATGCGAACAAAATTACCTGTTTCTGCCTGGGGTCATGCCATATTGCATGCTGCATCATTAGTTCGTATACGACCAACTGCTTATCATAAGTACTCACCATTACAACTTGTTTTTGGTCAACAACCAAATATCTCCCACATACGAGTTTTTGGTTGTGCTGTATATGTTCCAATTGCACCACCCCAACGCACTAAAATGGGTCCTCAACGTAGACTTGGAATTTATGTTGGTCTTGATTCTCCATCTATTATTAGATATCTTGAACCCCTGACAGGTGATGTCTTCAAAGCACGATTTGCTGATTGTCATTTTGATGAGACTGTTTTCCCACCATTAGGGGGAGAAAAGGTACAGCAGCAACGTGATCTTACTTGGAATGCCCTGAAATTGTCTCATTTTGATCCTCGTACAAACCAATGTGAACGAGAAGTTCAGAGGATCATTCACTTGCAAAATGTTGCAAATCAATTACCTGATGCATTTACTGATACAAAGAAAGTGATAAAATCACATATACCAGCTGCAAATGTGCCAGCACGAATTGCTGTCCCTGAGGGACCTTCTGTCGGTAATGCAGCAAATGCATCTAAAACACGCCTGAAGCGTGGTAAACCAGTTGGTGCAAAAGATATTGTTTCTCGTAAGAGGAAATCACAAAGAAAAGTTGGCACTCCTGAAGAGGCCACAAAAGGAGTAACAGATATTATTGATCAATCTGAGATAATAGCCTTTGATAAGACAGATGCTCTTAATGAGTCTCAGGTACCTAAAAATGATGAAATAATAAATATTGATGAGGCAAAAGTAACAGATGATGATGTGGCCCTTGATGAGGCACATGCTCTTGATGAGGCACATGCTCTTGATGAGGCAAAGGTACCTGAAAATGATGAGATCTCATTAAATTATGAAACGAGATGGAATAGAAATGAAATTGTTGACGACAACATATTCTCATATTTTGTTGTTCTTGATATTGAAAATGCGGATCCGAAACCTCAAAACGTCGAAGAATGTCGACGAAGAAATGATTGGCCAAAATGGAAAGAAGCGATACAAGCAGAGCTAAATTCATTAGCTAAACGTGAAGTATTTGGACCAGTAGTCCAGACACCTGAGGGTGTTAATCCTGTTGGGTACAAATGGGTGTTTGTACGAAAGCGAAATGAGAAAAATGAAATCGTGAGATATAAAGCTTGACTTGTAGCTCAAGGTTTCTCACAAAGACCTGGTATTGATTATGAGGAAACATATTCCCCTGTGATTGATGCAACTACTTTTAGATTCATAATACATTTAGCAGTCACAGAAAGATTGCATATGCATTTAATGGACGTGGTTATAGCATATTTATATGGATCACTAGATAGTGATATTTATATGAAAATCCCAGAAGGATTTACAATGCCTGAAACAAAACCACGTAATATGCACTCAATAAAATTACAACGATCCTTATATGGATTGAAGCAATCTGGACGAATGTGGTATAATCGCCTTAGCGATTACTTACTCAAAGAAGGGTATGTGAACAGTCATATTTGTCCATGCATATTTATTAACAAATCAGAATCTGGTTTTGTTATTGTTGCAGTATATGTTGATGATCTGAATCTTGTGGGAACATTGGACGAGATCGAAAAGACAGCCACATATTTAAAGAAAGAATTTGAAATAAAAGATCTTGGAAAGACAAAATTCTGCCTTGGGCTGCAGGTTGAACATCTTTCGAACGGTATTCTCATCCATCAATCAACATATACAGAAAAGATTCTGAAACGTTTTCATATGGATAAAGCATATCCATTGAGCTCCCCAATGGTTGTCCGATCACTGGACATCAAGAAAGATCATTTTCGTCCTCATGAAGATGATGAAGAACTCCTTGGCCCTGAAGTGCCCTATCTCAGTGCGATTGGTGCTCTTTTGTATCTTACAAATTGCACAAGACCTGATATAATTTTTCCAGTCAATTTATTAGCACGGTACAGTTCTGCACCAACTCGCAGACACTGGAATGAAATCAAACACATATTGCGATATCTTCGTGGCACAACTGATATGGGCTTGTTTTATTCGAAGGCACCAAAGTCTCCATTAGTTGGATATGCAGATGCCGGCTATCTTTCTGACCCACATAAAGCTTATTCACTAACAGGGTATGTATTTACCTGTGGCGGCACAGCTATATCATGGTGATCGATGAAACAGACAATGATTGCCACTTCTTCAAATCATTCTGAGATACTCGCAATTCATGAGGCAAGCAGGGAATGCATTTGGTTGAGATCAATGATCCAGCATATTCGAACAACATGTGGTCTCTCATCAATAAAAGAAAGTCCAATAATATTATATGAAGATAATGCGGCATGCATTGCACAGATGAAAGAATGGTATATTAAAAGTGACAGGACCAAGCACATCTGACCAAAATTCTTTTATGCACATGAACTGTAGAAAAAGGGTGATATTGATATTTAGAAGATACGTTCATGTGAAAATCTAGCAGATTTATTCACTAAAACGCTTCCAACTACAACATTCAAGAAGCTGGTGCACAACATTGGAATGCGTCAACTAAAAGATCTTCAGGGTTGATCTAATGAGGGGGAGCAATTCATCAAAGAGGTATTGGCATGCTGTACTCTTTTTCCTTCGTCCAGGTTTTGTCCCACTGGGTTTTCCTGGCAAGGTTTTAATGAGGCAGTTTTAAATCTATGCAATACCATACATAAGAATACTGTACTCTTTTTCCTTCGCTAGGGTTTTGTCCCATTGGGTTTTCCTTAGCAAGGTTTTAACGAGGCATATTCTTAGTGTAGTATTGTGGACCCCAAGGGAGAGTGTTATGTATATATGTTTTATGTGGGATCCACAATAAATGATGTCAACCATGAGATCAGTTTTGCTTGGGGAGCAAGATCACACTTATAGCTTATATAGGAAGCTTCATTTTTTAAACCTATAAATACCATGTATCTGGGGACGACCAAAAAAGGAGGTACTGAGAATCATTAAGCTTATATATTTTACTCTTGAGCTCTATTTCTCTCACTATATAGATATACATATATGTGTGTGTGTGCGCACTATTATACTGCCTATAACATATAATTTATTACACTTTTATTTTTCCTTGGAGGATGTGGATACTCCTACTATTGTTCCTCAATAAAATCCTCTTAAATTTGGATCGTGGATGCGAATATGCCATGGTTGTTAAATAATTTAATAAAATGTCAAATCCCAAGTGGTCACACGGAGGAGCAGGAGCGTGAAAGAAATAAAATTTAAATTACACAGAGTGTGAGTGAGTGTGGGAACACATGTGAAAAACGAAAAGCAAGTCGAAGTGCACGAGAAGCGCAAAAACGACATCTTTTTAAAAAAATTGTGCGAGTTAAGTCAAACTTTTTTACTTGCGCAAGATAAGAAATAATTCTTTTCTTTATGTTCGAAATGCCTTGGACTCTAAACAAAGGAACTTGCAACTAGGAACAAAAACATGGAAGTCAAATTCTCCTACTAGCTTGCTTTGCAAAGTTTGTTTCTCATCCACGGTGTATCACCCTTGGGAAGAACGTAATAATCAAATCTCTGAACTCAGAAAGCTGTTCTAGGAAGAATCTACTCCACCATTACTTCAATCTTAAATTTGGGGTTTCTCAAAAATTGCACAGCCTCTTAATGCATCCTTACTGATTGGAACCTTTCGCGGTCATGTTGCCGTCCTCGACCACGTCCGCCGGCTAGGTTTAGTCACCGGAATGTTGAACCAATAACCTCCATTAATAGCCAATTAAACTGTTTTGGTTTGGGGTAGGCCCTTGTTTCTCTCAATTTGGGCTTGCTTGTCTTTTTATTTGGACTTGTTCTTTCCCATGGCTGTTTAGACAAAAGGCCCACCATATACTTGTTACTTTATATAGATATCAGTTGCTTCACATTTCGAATTAAAAAAACGCACAAATAAACAAACAAACAAAACTAGGAACCAAAACAACTATGAAAACTATTGATTTCATTAATTGAAGTAAAAGTACAGTGCTGAAAGAATAAATGGTAAACTAATTCTGCATTGATAGTTAATATATTGTACTATTGTTTTAAATTTTAATTAGTATGAGATATTACTAGTTATATTTAATATATTGTACTATTGTTGGTAAATTTTTATTACCGATATTACCAACTGATTAGATACTGAGTACCACATCACTAATACAAGTGGCACAATTAAATTAAAGAATTCAATGTAGACATGTCAAGTCCTAATTAATCACACAGAACGCAGAAAGAGACGGTGCAAGATCAAGAAGCGTGAAACCATAAAATTTAAATCACATAAAGGGTAAGTAAGAACAAAACTATTTAAACCTAATTTTCAAGTCGATTTTTATAACTGAAGGCAGCGTCAAAGAAATAAAAAAAACCCCTTTACTTATTCACATGGCTTTGAAAAATTAGTTTAAAATTTATTTTTATTTAACATTATCATCTTATGAATCTATGATAGACCTTGTCTTTTCGTAGGCCCACCTAACTAATTAATTCATTTAATTGTATGCCTTCAAAAATTCTCCCACAAACAAAAAAAAAAAAAACAGAAAAGAAAAGAAAAACACACACACACACACACACACAACAAATATAATAAAAGGGACCCGAACAATGCCTTCACGTTAGTTAGGGGTGGGCAAAAAATTCATCAATCCGCGAACCCGATCCGATCCGATCCGTACGGATCGGATCGGATAACCAGACCCACGGATCGGTGGCGAATTTAAAAAAATTGAATCCGTAGTTCATAAATTGGATCATGGATTAAGTTGTCAAAAATCCGATCCGATCCGTGAATCCGATCCATGGCAATCCGTGGGTAATCCGTAAAAAATATATATATATATATATATATATATATATATAATATAATATTAATATATAACAACTCTGCGGCAATCCGTGTGCCACATATCGTTTTTTATTATTATTATTTTTTTTGGTAACTAATTAAGTATTATACATATTAGTATATTACACACTGATATAAAACATATTAGTATTTTTTTTGGTAACTAATTAAGTGTTTTTTCGGATAATTTGGATAATTACTGTCCTTTTGGTTATGCAATATTTTACAGTTTGATTATTCTTGTTATTATGCATTTAAATTGGATTAATCTATGTTTTATTATACACTTTTGTAATTGGATATGAAATTGGTAAAAAATTAAAAATAGACTAATTTAGATAATTCAGTCCGCGAATTGAATCCGATCCGATCCGTGAATTCACGGATCCGATCCGTGAATTAACGGATTGGTAGCGGATTCAAAATTCCCTAATCTGTTGTGAGCGGATCAGATTAGAATTGATACCTAATTCGATCCGATCCAATCCGTGGCCACCCCTAACAGTAGTGAGAAAAAAAAAAAAAAAAAAAAAAAAAAAAAAAAAAAAAAAAAAAGGGGTGTAGTATCCATTTGTGAGAAAATTAGAGAGTAAATTGAGATGATTTGAACACATTTATTAGAGACATAGAGATGCACCAATGTAAAAGATCAGAGACAGATAAGATGATAAAAAATAATATAGAATGAGGTTATTATTAAAAATAATTTTAAAAAACTAAACATAAGAGGGAAAATGACATGTAATAGAAAAGATTTGAGGGAAAATTTATGTGGAAATCTTGGCCCTGTAATTTCTTATAAATCCAATTACATTTGATATTAGGTTAGTTTATTTTAAGCCCAACCCAATAACAATAAAATATCAACCCTACAATACCATAATAGCCCAACCCAATTTCATCAACATTTAGTTTAGTTTATTTTTTAGCCCAACCAAATAGCAACCCCGAACTAAGCTGTAATCTTGTATTGTTCTACCCAAGCTCCAAGTATTCATTCTGAACTTTTCCTTAAAAAAATAATAATAATAATTTCTCAACAGGATATATATATATATATATATATATATATATATATATTCACCTTTCAGAGCTGTCAAAAGACCAGATTGGATTAGCTGTGGGTCTAGTAATTGGGCTTAAGGCGAACCCGTGACTTAGCAGGAGCCCATATACTGACTAAGCCCATGCTCTTCTTTCATTCAAAAGGATGTGATAATGTCATAATAGTAGCAGCATTTTTTAAAGCTCACTCAAAAAGAGGTTGATCAAGAATCTCTATAAAGGAGTTGAAATTGGTCATATTCAATGCTGCATTACTGGCATTTGAAAATTGATTTTTTTAGTGCTTTTGCTTCATTTTTTTTTTTTTTTTTTTTGCTAGTGTACTGTAGCGAAGCAAAAGCATGAAGCATGTCTGATAATATTTGATGTACTTTTGAATAGTACCGAAGCGCTTCCAAAATTGAGACCAAAATCGAAAAAATCAAAATAATGCTTTTGTTTGTTTCCGCACGATAACAAAACACTGTTAAAAAAATAATAATAAAATAAATAAATAAAATAACATTTTTAACTAACTATTCAAACTTACAGCACTTTTTACCAAACAAGCTTTCATATTTTGACTTCTAAAAATCTTATAATAAATTTACGTTGCCAAACAGGCTTCTAAATAGTGTTAAATATACTCTAAAAACAGAAATATTGTTATAGTGAGATTCGTGAGAATGACTTGGTATTTTTCATTAAACAATTTTGTCAATCTCAGTGGTAAGTAAGATTTTTTTTTTAATTTAAAAAAAAAAAAGAAAAAAAAAGATTGTCGCTTAATTTGCAATAATCTGGATAGAGTACCGTTGAAATTGTGGAGTGGCACAATGATAGAATTGGACGAAACAAAAAGAAACGAAACAAAAAAAAAAAAAAAAAGTTTTGAGATGGAGAGTGCAATTTGGATCTTGTGATATATATATATATATATATATATATATATATATGAATGGTTCTTATGTTTTTCAGTTGGCTTAATTAAGTTCTCCATCCTCTTGTCTAACTTTTGCAACCAACTGTAATTCGTTCGATCACAACATGTTTTTTAGTTGGTGTAAGTAATAGCTCTCTTTCTCTCCTCGTCGTTGGTACGTTTGTTCATAACATGAACTTTTCATGTGCTGTCATTAGTTTCATCACTTTTATGCATCAACTTATATGTAACCATCCACTTATAATTAAAACCCTTACCGACAAAAACACCTCTGTTTTTTTTCTCCCAACCACAGACGACGACTGGAAGGAGGAAAGAGTGAGAGAGAATAAAATAGGAGTAGTAGTCATATATGTCCTCGTAGCGGTAGCAAAATACCTCTTCTCCACTTATTAACAAAGTCTTTTCAATAAATATATTGACGGGTCACGTTGCAACCTCTTTTTGACTGAAAAAATGGATTTTGTAGGGATTCTAAGTCGACAAATCTTTAAAAAAAAAAAAAAAATTTGACCCGATTTTTTCTCTAGGGTTAATTTGGTTAGTGTGTACTAATAAGAAAGTAAAAGAAACAAAACAAATTTAAATTTTTTTACAATTTAGTTAGCGTGGAAAGAAAAATTTTAGGAAAGTAATATTCTCGCAACTAATTAATTTTCGTGAAAATGTGTTATAATATTCTTTTACAATTTTTAGAAAAGTAATATTCTCGCAACTAGTAATATTCATAATATTTTTTTATAATTTAGTTAATGAACTAATCTAATACAGTAGTAGAGTCCTAATATATATTGCAACCTTAAAATAAAAATAAAAAAATTAAAAAAAAAAAAAAAAAAACTATTCAATTACCAAATTTGTATTTGAACATATATATATATATAACCCAATCTTATATTTTTTTTTTATTCTATGTATTTTATTTATATTAAATTAGTAAGGGTAGTTTTGGTATATAAAATTATTTTCTTTTCACTTTCCAGCCATCCAAACTAATAAAATAATATTTTTTCATAATTTTTTTAAGAAAAATTAATATTAACCAAATACATTATAGAAACTAAATTTTCTTTTCTTTTACTTCACTTTTTTTTCCTTTCACTTTCCACTGTTGAATTTCGGCTAACCAAACATACCTTTGAGAATCTTTATGTTGTTTAGGGCTCTCTTGTAATAAGTATATAAGAGTATTTAGGGTTTAGTGTATATATATATATATATATATAAAGAGAGAGAGAACACTAATTTTTAGTGAAATCTTTTCTTTATATCTTTAAGTACAATTGTAGACTTACTCCAAAACGTATTTTATTAATTTGTCTGCATAGAGTGATCCTCATATCGTCTTCGGGTGCACACCATTGTATGGGAGGGAAAAGACTGTAGTTCAATTATTTTTAATCAGCTTGAATAGTTTGATTCTTGAAATCTTTCAGGTGGACTTATTTCAAAACTTATTTTATTAGGAATTAGATTTGTCTACGCAACAATAAGTAAGTCATTCCTATTAATGAATTTTGTGATCTAATTATAAATATATAAATAATTTATAATTATAAAATTTAAAAATTAACAAATAAAAAAATAATGATATAATTATTTATATATTTATAATTGAATCATATCAACAATTAAATAAGTACGAACTACTAAGTCTTGTCATAGAGTGATCTTTGCCGACTGCACACTACTATATGAGGGAGAAAAGATTGTAGTTCAATTATTTAATCAGATGTGGCCCTTCTTAATTTGTTTGATTAGGAAGGATATTTCATACGTCCTATATATATATACTCTATATATATATATATATATATATATAATCGCGTGTTAATAATATTGTTATCAACATTTCACGTGGCATAACATCAAACGAAGAGCACCATGTGATTGTAAGGACCACGAAAGAGCAGATACTGTCGTGTTGGCATTTGGCAAAGACAAATCATGATATTTTTACTCGTGGCCTGTTACCCCTACTTGAATATTCAATAATCCAGGAGTGGCCTACCAAGAATCTCAATGATTAATACTCCCTACAAGATTGAAGGGTAATTATGTCATTTTACTTTAAATGATTAATTTAAAACCTCTAATAACGAGAGCTTTACAAGGATCAATTTTTTAATTAGTATGAGATATTACTTACTTAGATTTGATTGAAAAGACTCATATGACATGATGACAAGATGCTAAGGATTCGCCACTCAATGTTACAATTTCAATGCTATTTGACTGTATTTCTATTAATTTTTATTTGGTATATATTAGATGCAATGTAGTTTGTTGCAAACTACATGCCTAATATTCGAGGAATGAAAAATCATACAATTAAAAAAAAAGAATTACTAATTTAAAATATTATGAATGAAGTTAATAGAAATGCGCCCATACAGAGTTGTGAAACAAGAAGTTATTTTTAATATGTCAATTCGAGTTGAGGCAACTTATAAAAGGACAGAGTAAGTTGGTGATATTTGTACCCTCTTATTTTTTTCTTCTTCAGAGAAAATAATATAATTGCCCTTAAGAAAACGCATTCATACTTTATATATAATTAATCATACTTTACCAAAGGGTTTCTATCTTAATGGTATAATCGTTTTTTTTCTGTACACGAGGTTGAGGATTCAAGCCCAACCCATTGTAGTATAAGGCAAGGTCAAGATCTGATAAAAATTCACCCCACTCGTTTATATGTTGCTATTATACATATATCCCTCCCCTTATATATATATATATATATATATATATATATATATCTCTGAACCTAACATAACCTAAATTGCCTTAGCAATATCCTAGCTCGATTCCCTCACCTACCCAAATCGATATATTTGATATCTCCATTTCTCCTCTCTCACAAACACTTAGTCGCCACCCAACTTTCAATCACCCCATTCTATTATTAATCACCGACGACCTTGGACAACCAAACCCTTAGCGCTCACCACTTTCAGCCTCTATCTCTTTGTGTTATGATTTAGGTTGGTCTCAAAAACATGGTACTTTCTCATCAACAATATCGTCTCACCCAAGTTCCAATACTTACTCAGCTACTTTCTCAACAACAATCCTCATCTCAATTGGCTGGTCAAGAAATCCGCCATTCGATTACGGCCACATTGTCATCCTCTCCAACAACGATTTATTCTTATTCATCTTCCTCCTCGACATCGTCAATGCTAGGCCATGGTACTTCCCTCCCAATGGGGCAGGGATTGGATTTAAATCTCGATTTCTGGATGAGTATGGGATGGCTTTTAATTAAATGGGACGAGGTAAGGTTTAGACAAACCTGTCTCATACTCATCCTATTGCCATTCTTACTTTTTAAAGGGGTGATTTTGTCTTTTCAATTACTAAAATATCCAAATAAAGAACAAATGATACAAATGTGTAGTAATAATTGATATTACTACCACCATCCCATTTAAAGTTTAATTTAAATGTAATTTTGAGAAACACTTTAAATGTAATTTTGATGCATATTTCTCTCATAAGCTGCTTCGTGGGAGTGGGGGCACTGTGTTTCGTGATTTTCAGGGCACTATTCTAAAAGTTGTGGTGTTTCGGCCCTTCTTTGCTTTGTCGGTGATGATGGCTGAAGCGCTTGCTTGCCAACATGCTTTGACTCTTTCTTTTGGTTTTCAATGCTTAAGCTTCGAATCGGATGCTAAGGTTGTTGTTGATGCAGTGGCGAATGCTTCAATTTGCCCCACGGTGATCGCGTCTATTTGTTTTGATATCTAGATGGAGCTTCAGACCTTCTCTGTGGCTTCTTTGCGATTTGTTCGGCATTTCGGACATGGGGTGGCTCATGCTTTGGTTATGTTGTCTCGGGCTGATTTGACTGTGGATCGTGTGTTGGACCATTGTCAGTCCCAACTTCTTGATCTTGCTCGACTTGATGCGTTGGGTGCTCGGGTGGTGGATGCCTTTGATTTCGTTCCTTAGTTTGTGTTGCTTGTCTTTGAAAATAATAATAATAATAATGTGTGTTTAACTTTTTAAGATGTGACTTTTTATAATTTTGTATTTTATTGGTAATGAATTGATTATCAAATTTATCTACAGTGTGTACAGTGATATGATGATATTTTACATCTTTTTATTGGTAAATTGGCATTGTTATAAAATATATATGACAATTATTTTAGGACAACTAAAATATGACAGACGCTTATTTGGGATAGAGCTAGAGCTGGTTAATATTACAGTTAGTCATCCAGAGTAAAAAAAATTAATTAATAATTAAGCAATTACTCAGTAAATAGAATAACAATAATAAACTCAAAAAAAAATTCTATAAATAAGGTTGAAGGTTGCTTGACCATGAGCCCCAAGTCCAACTGTGAGGGAAGTTTCCTTCCCCTTGTTACATTGCAATACAACAACATAAATCTCCACTTCGATTAGAAGCTCAGACATCTCTGCCCCTCTCTCTCCCTTCCTCCGACTCTCTCTCCTCTCCAATAGCTCCCACCAGACAAGGTCTCTCCTCTCTCTCTCTCTCTTATATACATACACATATACATACATATACATATATATAATATATATTTATCACTAGCTCCTAATCTCGTTTTCTATTAATTAACAGATCTATAAATCTGTAGATCCACATTGATAGATCTGTTTGTTGACAGTATCGAAGAACACAATCACCATGGTCGGGAGTGTTGAAGTTGAAGGTACCTCGGCGCTATCCAACGGTAAAGTGGGGCATTTGTCGGGGGAATTTGATCCCACGGCCGTCGTTCCGGAGCCATTGCCACCGCTGGCCGTGGCGAACGGTGAGGACGTGGTGAACGGGGACTTGGGAAAAGGTGGAGAGAAGAAAAGAGAGATTGTGCTGGGGAGGAACGTGCACACCACGTGCCTCGCCGTCACGGAGCCAGATGCTGACGACGAGTCCACTGGTGATAAGGAGGCCTATATGGCCGGCGTGTTGGCTAGGTATCGGAGGACTCTCATCGACAGGACCCAACACCATTTAGGTAAACTTGTAATGGTTTCATTTTTATAATTGCATTGATTTTGATTACTTCATTTTTGCTCTGTTTGTTTGTTGTGAAAATGCAGGAAAATAAAAGAAATAGGAAATGTAAACTCCATCTATCTTGTTATTTTTGGTTGTCGGTAGATTTCATAGCATCTGCTTAATTACTTGTTCTTAAGAACCCAAATGATGGGAAATGAATTACTTCAAGTGCTAAAATGAGGTTATATGGGAACGAAGTTTACGTCTTTGATAAATCTAGAGGGATTCGAAATGAAATCTCTTGCATATATAGCAAGTTCGTAAGTTTTAGAATTTGCAGGCATTTGTTTTTCTTTGAAGATCCATTTTCTCACCTTCTTTTAGATGTTTGGAATTACCAGTTTCAACCATATTTGTGAAGTGTTTTATATTTGCACTAAATATAGGAAGAAAATTAAAACAATTTCTGAATTTCTTCAGTCTTTTTTTTTTTCTAAATTTTTTGATCCAATTTTGCCAGACATGGGCAACTTTATTTTATTCACCTGTCTATATCTAGTATGTCCAACTTTAGAAATCACAAAAGGTGTGTTCTTTCTTTGTGTACTCATGTCATTTCTCTATTTGGCGTTATTATGTCGCAAAATTGACAGCTTGTTGAGGGGATTGGATGTTGTGTTTCTTATTTTTACCCAACCAGTTGATACGTGACATTTACTTATAATATATATATGTGTGTGTGTGTGTGTGACATTCAATGTCAATTCAATATCTGCCAAACATGGACTTGAGACATTAAGAATTTGAATTTGTCAGAACTTTTATATATGGATTGATATTTTGTATATATGATAAAAGTTACTAATACTTCCATATGTGCCTTTTATGAATCTTATTTGTAGAAGTGTATAATTTGCCCTATTTTTTGTGTTACTGCATTTGAGCTCTGTGAATTGTAGTTCTTTTATTGTGTTATCATTTGGTGAGGATAGACCAATGTAACCACAAGAGAGCTTCAGTATCAAATATGTAACTTTGTTATTATGCTGGTTCTTAACTTCTTATGCACAATTTATAGCTACCATAACGTTTTTGTTAAGGATGTTTCTTTCTTTGAACTCTTTCATGAAGAGGACCACAAAGTTGTAATGTATTACCTGTATCAGTTTCTTAAAGGTTAAACTTTTTGTAGTTCATGGCCTGAAGTTAGCCACTAATGAAGCTTTTGAAGAGCTTACTTAATTCTTAATGGTAACATACTGGGTTCTTATGGCTTTTGGATGTGAAATTTTGTTACAGGATATCCATATAATCTGGACTTCGATTATGGTGCTCTAGCACAGTTGCAGCATTTCTCCATTAACAACCTTGGTGATCCATTTATTGAGAGCAACTATGGTGTCCATTCAAGACAATTTGAAGTGGGTGTTTTGGATTGGTTTGCCCGTCTGTGGGAGATAGAGAAAGATGAATTCTGGGGATACATAACAAACTGTGGAACTGAAGGCAATCTTCATGGAATTCTAGTTGGGTTAGTGTCGTATATCTTAGCTTGATGATACTTGTTTACTTTTCGAAGATCAATCATGTCTGTTCAAGAATAGTTCTAACATAAACAATGAAATGCAGGAGAGAGGTTTTTCCAGATGGAATTCTGTATGCTTCACGAGAGTCGCATTACTCTGTTTTTAAAGCGGCAAGAATGTACAGAATGGAATGTATAAAAGTTGGCACGTTAGTCACTGGGGAGATTGATTGTGCAGATTTTAAAGCCAAACTACTTCCTAACAAGGGGAAGCCGGCCATACTCAACGTGAATATAGGTATCTCTCTCTCTCTCTCTGTACGCTCGCGTAATGGAAGGTCGAAGCCATATACTTATTTGTGCTTCTCTGAATTGCAGGAACTACTGTTAAAGGAGCTGTCGATGATCTTGATCTTGTCATATCGACCCTTGAAGAATGTGGATATTCACATGACCGGTTTTACATCCATTGTGATGGAGCTCTATTTGGTCTTATGATGCCATTTGTCAAACGTGTAAGTAGATCTACCTTATCCTTATTACTCATGTCTTGCACATGCAAAAGTTTTTGGACCCATAATTTTATGAGTTGTAAGCAGCTCATCTCTAACTGATGTGTGATCACCGGTCAATGAATGACCAATAAGTTCATGAGTTATCACGGAACTGACCACTAGAGAAAACATGAGGTGTGGCCATGCGTAGATGTTACTTGGCACTGTTAACATGACATGGGATGAATAAGGAATCCCCTAGTTGGAAGTCTCTCTGTCCTTTCCAAAAGCAACTTACACCATAATGTGATTGAGACAGAAGTGTCTAGGAACCCAAGTGGCTTGGTGCCTTGTAACATGCTACCACCCTTCAACACTAAGTGCATCTGTGCACCACATGGAGCTGTCTGAGATTCTTGGCTTGATGGGTGAAGCAGTGACATTACAGGGCTTGGGCAGGTACTCCTTTGTCCGACAGGACATTGTGTCCTTTGCTCTGGTGGCCTTGAGGGCCATGTATTTACAACTCATTTGAATTGTTGAGGCTCTGGTCAGGCCTGTGGCTCTACAGCCAACAGCCTTGTGAGTCGAATCACAGTGTAGAAATTCAAGAATCAGCCTTTATGGTTGAGCCACAGTCCTGCAGATCAACCCAGAAGTCTCATGGATTGGGATGTCTCCGACTGGTTATGGGCCTGCCACCTGCAAGTCCAAACGCTTGTAGCCCCAACCCAGTTATGGTATCTCCACATAAGGGCCATTGGGAGCCCAATTCCACAACAATGAGTCCTTTCATATTCTTGTCCTCAATCTGACTGCGATTTAAGCTCCTATGGTGCGTTCCAAGCCATCTCATCATCTTGCCTGCCTTATGGCAGTTTCCTTCCACCATGGCAACTCCTTAGAAGATGAGTTTCACCAGAGAATCTCTGTTTGTGCATTTTTATAGGTGATTGACTGCTCTAAATGGAGTAAGCCATAACAGTGTGCCACATCAAAAAATAGAGTATTCTAGTCATGACACCAAGAAATTTCAAAGATCTTCTGGATCTTGTTGTCAACCATTTATTCTTGTGTGCAATTTTTTACTCAATGTCATTGTATCATGGTTCATGTTTTATTTCACTGGCTTATTAGTTATTGGTGATGAACAGGCACCCAAGGTCAGTTTCAAGAAGCCCATTGGAAGTGTGAGTGTTTCTGGTCACAAGTTTGTGGGATGTCCAATGCCTTGCGGCGTCCAGATGACAAGGTTACAGCACATTAATGCCCTCTCAAGTAATGTGGAGTACCTTGCGTCAAGGGATGCAACAATCATGGGAAGCCGGAACGGCCATGCTCCAATTTTCCTTTGGTACACTCTAAACAGAAAAGGTTACAAGGGGTTCCAGAAAGAAGTCCAGAAGTGCCTTAGAAACGCTCATTACTTGAAAGACCGCCTTAGGGAAGCAGGGATTAGTGCTATGCTAAATGAGTTGAGCAGCACAGTTGTCTTTGAGCGACCTCAAGATGAGGAGTTCATTCGGAGGTGGCAACTTGCTTGTGAACGAAATATGGCACATGTTATTGTGATGCCCAATGTCACCATTGAGAAGCTGGATGATTTCCTTAGCGAATTAGTTCAGAAACGTTCGATCTGGTATCAAGATGAGAAAGTTCAACCTCCTTGTCTTGCAGAAGATGTAGGGATAGAGAATTGTTCTTGCGCACTTCACAAGTGATTTTATTTCTGCAACTGAGAACTTCTACAATCTACTGTTGTTTGTTGTACTAATTTGCTAAACTTTAGTTAATGAGACTTCGCTTTCAGTTGATCTATATTTTTACCCTGGTGATAAATTTTGTTTTGCTATGAAAAAATTTAGAGTTTTAGATTGGCTTTGCTTACAGGGGCAAATTATATTTGTCCATGTGGGGATCTCTGTTAACATGTCTTTTTACCTACTATTTGTCTGTGAACATTCTTAGTAAGAGAGCTATACAGATATATATGTGTGTGTGTATTGCATTCATTTGATGTTCTTAACAAAAGGCTATCAAAATTTTCAGGCATGCTGGGCTATAATTTATGGCCTTCGAATATTTCACATCTCCGTGCCAGGGAGATGTTAAATGGATGGCACACTTCTCGATACAATTTGCATAAGGTAGTGTGGATTCATGGTTGCTCTGTCCTTTAAAAATGAAATAAATCATTTTCATTTATGTTAAAAGAGAACACGTGGCTTCTGTTTTGCTATGTAACTTGTCTATGAATGAGAGATGTTGATTTTATCTTGAAGCTGTATTCTCTTGTTTTGATTCTCTTATTTTGATTCTCTTATTAGTCATTCATATCTAAGTATTAAGTATATTTATCTGCCGGGGCGTTTATGTGTGTGAACATTTCCTAACCCTAGACGCTTTAAGGGGGTGATAGTGAAGTCCAACATTGTTTTGATTATCCCAAAATTATATGCTTTGAAGCTGCATTAACTATGCAGTAAATACACTAATATATAATTTACAGTAATTATACTACTATAAAATCAGAGTTGTTGGATGTCTTTTCAGTATTCAGCATTTTCGGACCCACCCATTTAGATAACCCTCTTTTCAATTCCTCATTCTTTTCGCTATTTTCACTTTTCATCATTTTCTCACCCACCCATTGAGATAACATTCTTGTCAATTGCTCATTCCTTTAGCAATCAGTACTAGTTTGAAAATTTTAACCCTGCAAGATAAACATAGAAGAGGATGCTATCCATATATTTTGAACATGCCCACTATATGTTCTCTATCTGATTATAGTTAAATAATTCATTATCCCTAAAGGTAAGATCTGATTTACAAAGACCATTCTAATTTAAGATGCTAACTGTTCACAGAAATTTCAAAATCAATAAAATAAATTACAACAATCAGTCAACCATTAATGCTACACTAGGATCTTATTGCTCTATAGCATGCTTTATACCCCTCATAGTATCTATCATATTCATAACCCATATGTATAACTGATACAAAGGACTGATCTGAGTAAACCCATTCACAATCTTTACCTGCAACACACACACATATATACACATGATGCTTACCTTTAGTTATCTTATACTTCTCTGGATGTTACTAAACCATTTAATTGAAGTCCAAAAAGCCGGGTTGAGGCTGCCCACTCTGAGTTTGGTTGTTAGCCGTTGACTGAGCCATATGATGCTGCTGTTGCTGTTGCTGTTGCTGTTGCTGTTGCTGTTGCTGAGTTGGGTTGGTACCAAAGTGATGAAATGCCTGCCGGTGGGGGGAAAACTGGGGACGCAAACCTCTATTGAAAGGATTTCCGTTGGCGGCTGGGAGTTCCCCAGTTGCTATCTTAAGCCGCTGCACTTCATCCCTCAATGCTTCATTTAGTGCTGCAGGCAACAAATTACAAAAGCGTTTATAAATTATGAATTATAAAATGGGTGCAAACCAGTCAAACTTGAAATGATATTTGTCAAAGGGAGCCGCGAAAATGACATAGACCTGAACCATATCATCCCTGTGCATGTATCTTTTTATACACGCACTTGTTTCCAGCTAATGCTTATATAAAATAAGATCATTCAAGGATGCTGTTGATTCAGGTTTCAGTAAATGACAATATTTCGGTTTTGATGACTGTCCTAAGATGAGTAGGAAGTGACTAAGTCGCTTCAATTACAAGTGGTTCCTAAATTTCCATGAGAATAACATACACATTCTTTAAACTATGCGTACCATCTCGAAGATGTGCCTGTTGTTCCATTGCTTGCAACCGCAGTTTGAGTTCCTTATTCTCAGAAGTCAACCCAGTAGTGTCTCTCTGCATCAACATGAAACAATATTTGCAAGTGGGAAATCTCACTCTTTTCACAATTTTGTATCTGTTCTATGTATATTTGTAATAAAACATATAAGCTTTGAAGGAAATTTAATCAGATTAAGTATATTTGTAAACGAAGGAAACACAAGTGGCATAACAGAAAATAAAATATGGGCCATTTCCTGGTGTAGACCCTAGCATCAAAGTAAGTGTAGAAGAAAAAAAAAATTGAGCAGAATTTCACAATCTAGCCGCTGGAATTAATTTGGAAGAGACAGGGTGAATGACTGATTAATCCTCACACAAAGCAAGTTGTGGCAGAAACATCATGTATCTCAACAACTAATGTCATATGTTCCAACTCAAAATGATAAGGGGCCATAGAAGAGACAACGCTATCTTGCAAGTTGCAACCAGAAGAATACTGCCCACTGTTGGATGATGCTAGAAGAAACACCACCTAGAAACCTAAAACTTGAAATTGCACTAAAGTTTCTTCATCATATTTGGGAAAGAGGGAAAAGGTGAACTATATCTTAAAATATAGATAATGCTGAGAAGCCAGGGCTAATTCAGTATGTTGCGATTAATCAGGTCATGTATGAAATCAGTTTGTAAACCTTCATTGCATCACGACACGTCATAAACAAATAAAAAATAGACATAAGAACCAACAAACACCGCCTTACACACCTGAGTGCAAACCAACAATCAAGGCCACAACAGGAGCGTTGTGCACATGGGCGGAGCCAGCATAGGCCCAGGGGGGGCCCATGACCCCCCTGGGACCATGCTGGCCCATTAGTTTTAATTACAAAATGACCTATAATTTACAAAAGTTTTCAAAATGCCCCCCCTGAAATAATTTATTTTAAGAAAATGGCCATTAATTTTTATTACACAAAGGCCAATAATTTATAAAAAATTAAAAAATGCCCCCTGAAATAATTATTAACCCTTGGGGCAATTAATTTTTATTGCAAATAGGCCTATAATTTATAAAATTTTACAAAAATGCCCACTAAAATAATTATTTTTAAAAAATATCTTTAATTTTTCCTTTCTTTTCATTCTTACTCCTCCTCCTCTTCTTCTTCTTCTTCTGCTTTATATTCTCTTTAAAAAAAAGTTGCATTCCTTTATTCAAACTATTTTTTTTTTCTCTTCAAAGTTTGGTAATTAAATTTGTTGCCTTATGGTCGGTATTTTTATGTTCCTATTTTTTTTAAATAATTATTTTTCAAATTATTAAATGCTATTATTCCACCATTAGTACAGTTTTATTTTTTGATTTATTGTCTTGTATCACTTTTCGATTGAAAAAAATATAATTTATCATCTTTAATATGGCGCCCCCCCTGAAACAAATTCCTGGCTCCGCCCCTAGTTGTGCATAGTAGACAACAAAGCTACAACCAGTATTTGCACAAACATACTCAAATGTATAAACAAAATTTTTATGATCGCCTTAAATGTCACTGATTAAGAAGATGACTAAAAGTCTTCTTCCACTTCAAAAAGTGGAATGAGTATGTGGATATAATGGGAGGTTCAAACTGTGCACAAATAGCTTGAACAGCGGAGGATATAATTCTAAATAAGAAGTGGAGTATCATATTCGATTACATAGAGAAACTTGCTAAAGAAACTAAAAGTCAATTTTCAGATGATAGAACTCATTCCACCTAAACCCATCACATCTTCCTTAAAGGCACTATAATCAACTTCCTGAAAGTGTCTTATCAAGCCACAATCAACATCATTGGTTCTAGACCTCCAAGTGTTCTCACTTGGGTAATACCCTACATGTAATGTGATCCATACTCCAGCCCTCTCACTTTACTTGACAAAATTCTAATAGTTACTTATTCTAATAGGGAAGGTCAGTGATATTTATGGTGGTGTTGGAGGACAATTCTGGTGTTTACCTTAATACAAGTCGAAGGAAGCTGACTGCTTCTACAAATCACAAGCAATTATGACATTGAGTATATAGCAGCATATTTTTTTGGCATTGTTCCCGTTATTTATACATTGAAGCTTTTTTTCTCACCCCTTTCAAACCTTGGCACAGTTATGGGAGTGTTTTATTGTTCTGAACTATCTCTGATCCCCAGTAAGGTTTAGTCTACCTCTCATTTGCATGAAATTGAACACTTCAAGCGATCGAAAAGACAGTTACGACTCAATTTAATTTGGTATTGACTATGTAAAGAAAGGATAAAACAATTCTCCAACTACCCAAAGAGGATGAACTTTTATGTTGAAGATATAAATGATACTTACAATTGTAATCATGAGTTACATAAAATATCATCTGGAGACCTAAAGGAATATCAGTTATACTAGATGCATCACTGTCTATCTGTGTTTCCCAATTTGTTTTTGTATTAAAAAACAATTTGATGAGTGTATTTTCTCAAACTTCTAGGTTTCACATGTTAGCCTCTTTTTGGATCATATTATGAATAAAAGAAAGGGGGGGACAATTGTGAAAATTACTTGCTTATGGGTTCCTTTCTAAAAGATTGTCGAGCATTTTTCTTTCTATGTTTTTCCTTGTCCTTTCTATGATTCAAAAAAGGCTTGAGGCAACTCATTCCCCTAAAAAGACCACATCCAAAAACGATGACACAGGTTTGCACATACGTCAACCGATTCAATAGTGCTTTTGTGAAGATGCAAGAAATTATGAATGACTCCGCTCAAAAATATCAATCCAGTCAAATATTTTGGGTTTAACTTGCTGATCTTTTCTTTCCCAAAAAAAAAAATTATATACACACACAAACATATCCAATAAGTGCACTACCTTCCCCACCAACAAAAGAGCACTCTTCCTAAACCACGCATATATATCAAAGAAAAGGCATAGGTACAAAATGTTTATGATCATGGCAAAATCACAAAATTCATCATCAATCAGCATGTGGTTCTACCTCAAAATCAACCTTTGGTTTTATGTCACACCAGGAAATTATCCATATACTCATTTTCTGAAGTAGTGAAAGTAATGCAGGGTCCATACCTGCAGCAACGTGACCTGTGCAGAGAGAGTGGTTGCTTCTGTCTGAAGTGTCTGCACCTTCCTCTCCAGCTCACTCGTATAACGTATTTTTCGCTCCTTTGAACGCGCTGCAGATTGCCGATTTGCAAGAATCCTACAAGTAGCGTAAAAATTAAATTCACACGAGGAATGTATTTGTATAGTGCAAACTCTCAATTACTACCAAAACCCTATAATGAGACCAAAATTGTTGAGGAGTTATAAATTTAAGAAATACAGAAGTGAAGAATGCACAAGAAAACCAACAGACAAATCGACCAGAACTAGAGAATCCGACAAGATTGCTGGAAAAAATGTAATAAAACAAAGGAAACCAATTCTTTAACTCCCTTGGTTTTTTGCTGTTGTAGTCTTTTAGTAATAGAAATTCAACTGGACTAATTTAGAGTGGCTGTATTAGACTCAGCAGTTTAAGACTTTTTTCCAGTTTTTGAAAACTACTACTACAAAAGATAACAAGAGATCACAAATTCTGGTTTCATCTATTTTCCTCCATTTTCTCAGAAACCAAACAAAGAACAATTAACCCAAAACCAAGTACTCATAGTACAATGAAAAACAAAACTGTTCCATACTTCCATTTACCACTCAATGAACCAAAAACACAAAAATGACACCAAAAAAAATACAAAAAACAATTTTTTAATATTATAGGAGTGCAATCAAACTATACAAATTGCTTAGAAAGAAAAGATTCAAAATTACATTAAAAAAATCCCAATTAAACTAAAAATAAATAGAAGTCAACGTATTAGGTAAAAAGTTCAAACCTTTTAGCTCTCTTGGGATCAATCAAAGCGAGCTCAGCGAGTCTATCAGGAGCCGTGGCCTTCTTCCCACCATCCATCAATCTCAACATGGACTCCTCCTCAAACGACGACGTAAAACCATCCATGGAGCTGCTGTGCCTGTGATGACCCACTCTCTTCTCCGCCGCCGGCTTCGCGCCGAACTCGCCGCCGTCCGCGGCGGACGAACCAAACCCTAACCCGTCAAAAAAATCGGCATCGACCGACAAGCTCCTGAAGTGGCTGATGGGTCCCGCCGCCGGCTTCGGCTTGGGGTTTTCGCCGCCGTTGGATGAGTCCGATTTGGAGGAATCGACGGTCATGGGGATGTTGTTGTCGGTGTCGGAGGAGAGCGAGGGGAGTTCTAGGGTTGAGAGGTTGAAGTCGTCGGCGACGACGTCGTCCAGGAGGATGTCATCCGGGAAGCGGAAGAAGGTCTCGGACTGGGCCCGGCGGTGGTGGGCCCCGCGGTTTGGGGTGTCTGGCATCTGGTCGATGTCAATTCGGGCCGAGTATTGGGCGGTGATGGGCTTTCCGGCGAACTTCGGGTCCATTTTTACGAAAATGATTTGGAATTTCGTGCTGCTTGGGTGGATGATGTCTGGTATGATGGTTTCTTTACATAAGCTCTAGAGAGAAAAAGAGAGAGGAGTGAGATAGTATTTTGTAGTTTGTGGTGAATTTGAGTTTCATTTGTAATCATAAGGGCATAAGTGAACAAAATTCAACAGGGTGTTGGTGAAGTTGTAATAACATGTAATGCCACAATTATGTCCCCTTAACCACCATGTGGCAGTTGTGCTATGTTTATTTGTTTATTCTATTTCATTCATCTTACACGTTACACTTGGCATCTTTTGGGAAAAAACTTCCAAGTAGACGACTTGGGTGATATAATTAGGTCTAACATATAAAACTATATATATTTATATATATATTTTTTTCTTAACACGTATAATTATATATACACCATACCAAAGTTACGTTAGAGCCCGAACGAGTGTTCAAAGTTCAAACAAAATTTCAATCTTATAAACAACAAATAGGAAAAAGAGTTCGTTTGAAATGTAAGAATAATATTCGATTAATTAAAGTAGTGGTTCCTAAAGACATAGCGATGTTGGTAAAGATTTGAGAGATAAATCTTTAAGGTTTTGTTTTTTAATCGCATTTTTAATTACGTGTGTTGTGAGGGAGATATATATATTTTAAAAAATAAATAAATAAAAATAGTGACTTAGCACATGCAAATATACCATATACCTATTTAAGTGTATATATAATTATATATTCACACATATACCATATGTATCTATTGTATAATTAGGTTTGGGCATTATCTTTCAAGTTTTCTTATGCATAGAGTCCTCATTGATTTTGGGCACTGTGTCACTCTACTAGGTTGGTGTACACGTGTCACGAACCCAATTCTTGTTCATAGTTGAAACTGTTGTAAGAAGGCAAGTTAAGTCTGGTACTGCACTTGACGAGAAAGTAACTCCAAACCAAAGACATACTACGTATGTGACTATATGTTTATGGTTGTCTTTTCAAAGTGTCCAACGCCGTATTGGCTTTAAATAGAATCCGGACGATTACTCTCTTGCAAAATAATGTCTCACTCACCTTCCCCAAAAAAAAATTTATATCTCACTCTTCCTGAACAAATCCAATTTTAATATAAAATGACTTCATTGTTTCTTATCTCGGAAAGTAAGAGGTTGTATATGGGGACTTGTGCATATTGAATTCGAATGAAATGGTAAATGTGTATATTTCAACTTGATTCTTTTAAGTGACATTTAAAATCTATTATGTATCTATCGCTTGTGTTAAACACTGTTAAAATAAGAAAATTTTATTAAAATTTGAAAATTACACCTTTTAAAAATAAAAAAAATTCACCATACTTAATGGTGGTTCCAAGGGAGGGCTGGGCTGGGCTGGGCTCCAGCCAACCCAAAAAGAAATTTTTTTATTATTATTATTATGGGTAAATTTAGCCACAAAAAAAAAAAATATATATATATATATATATATATATATTATTAGAATTAATCTATCCAAACAAACCCAAGTCAATTAAACCATAATACTAAAATAAAGGGGCCTAATAAATAGATATTTTGTAATATTTGAATTCAAATATTTATCTAGATTATGTTATTAAAAAAAATTTATTTTAAAATTGTGTTATTAAATTTATGTTTAATTTTAATCCATCACATTGACAATTTTTGGATCCGCTTCTTGTTACTTATTCGTATGATTGGGAGAATATTTCGTGAATGTATGAATTGAGTATGAATTTGTCTTAATAGTTTAAAATTTTTAATTGAATTACAAAACTTCTTACCTAAAACATCCGAGTGAGTCATCCCGAATAAGCAAGGCCTGATAAGGTGACTTTAGGGAAAACTGTAACGGTTCAGTTTAAGTACATATTATATTTACAACATAGAATTTAATATTAATCATAACAATCATATATTTGGAGAAATCCACGTCTACGCTAACGTCTCGTTTGTGAGGAATTAATGCAACTTAACAAGAATTTATCACAATTATTTAATTTGTCAATGACTGCCTTGCTTTTAAAGACGCTGATTGAATCATAAAGAAATCATTAGTCTCATAAAGATGGTAGTAATATTTATAAAAAGTGGGGCCAAACTAGTTCTTCAAAATATCTTGTTTTCAACCCACAATAATTTACATTATATGGATTTATGTGCAATCTTTGTTATCTTCGTCCAGATTTTGTGGTCCGTCAGATCATATGGAACACTGCAACCCTCAAATTTAGGGCTGGCATTTGACTATGGTAGAGGTTGTGTTTGGACGGTTGGACTAATTGCCGCCAAACTATGTACAAGCAGTTTAATATGATAAGTTATGATCTAAGTTACCGGAACGGAAGATAAAGCAAATTCAAAAGTAAAAATGTAAGAACAGTAAAATTAAATCATAAATAAGAAGAATTTGAACAAAAGCAAAAACGCTCTCAAAACGTAAGAGTGACCCTTATTAAAAAGAATTGTGTGACTTAGGTCATGATTCTCATTTTTCAATGGTCCCCCACCTAAATAATTTGGGTGTTCGGGAGTCATATAAAGTGTCCCTAAGCTCGGACTATATCCACAAACATAACTCTTAATAAATTATTTGCACGTAATAAGAATCGATCATGAAACATGATGCACACATATGCACCGACCTCGCTCAATCCCATCCCATTAGAGATTTATAATACTTCATGTATATGAAGTTTTAGGTCATTATTAAAAATAAAAAATAAGAAGTAATCAACTCTCCATCTCTCTCCCCACGTCTATGTTAGATTCAACTTTTTTGTTATTTTAGTTTTGCATTTCTATCTTTTCAATAATTATTTAAATACTCCTACAAAATTAAAAAATATATTTGATACGTAAAATTCAATTTCAATACAAAGACGAGAGAAAATTAGGAAGAAACATGTTTAAGCAACTAGTGACTACTACGTCTAATAGTTTATATTTCTTATTTATATATTTTTTAAAAAACAAAGAAAACATAGAGGCATATTTAATTTATAATATATATATATATATATATATATATATATAATAATATATATATTAAGAGAAGTATATTTAAACACATCGAAAATCTGATACAACATTTTTAAAAGGTGAAAACTTATCAAACTAAATTATAAATGTATTGAATGAAATATTATCAATCAACATTTAAGTTTTTTATATTTATTATCATGGTTCAAAAAAATTAGTCTTATTAATATTCAACTGTTGTCCCAATTGAAAAAAATTTCACACATCTTTTAACAGGGCGATCCCATATATATATATATATATATATATATATATATATATATATTAAAAGAACTTTTTAGAGCATTCCATAATAATCAGTGACGTTCCACGCTATCTAACCAAAAAAAATTTTACTGAAAATGGTCACAAGGAGAATTGAGCTCCCAACCTCAAAAATATAAGATCAAACATATTGTCCTTAGGCTATTCTTTAGAGTTATATATATATATATGTATATGTATAATACAAACTATGTATACACACGAAATTGCAAATGTCAAAATCCCTATAAATTTTGCTCGCCTTAGCATTTGGCGTATTTGTGTGGGGTGTGCTACTGCGTAGGAGTTACGTCTTCCACTTTGACCATGGAAGTATTACAATACAAATAAATTGTATATAAGTCTACAGAGAGAATTTTTTCAGTCTATTTACCTTCATTTTATTGTAACCAAGACTGTGATGAGAGTCTTTAGTGGGCGTCACCATCGTTTTTCTCTTTCTTTCTTAAAGTCATGAGTCATGTCACATATTTCATTCATTTTGGAACGATATATATTAATTCTTTCATATATAAATATGGTGGTGTCACACTAAATTAAATAATTCAAATTCAGTAGCTATTACATATTTAATTGATTTTCCAAACGATGTGTATTAATATATTTTGATTTGTATAGGACAATTCAGAATTAATATTTTTGATAGTGTCCTTTTTATTCTTTCCATGTACATTTTCCTTTTTCCTTTGGCTGCCCTGTCTTAGAGGGTTCTTTTATGTAGTTTCTACGGAAAGATGACCAAAGCAACGGTTTTCTCTTTCGGTGGGGTTTTAGGATGGACTTTCGGGCATTGGTAGAGCACTCGTGGTCTTGACTCATCAAAACTCGTGTTGAAATTTCTTTGTAATATCTTATTACATTTTCTTATGGTCCACTTTTGGTAGTTGAAGTGTTTTGATTGGACTGGATATCTTATTACATTCTCTTATGGTTCACTTTTAGTAGTTGAAGTGTTTTGATTGGACTGGATATCTTATTATATTCTCTTATGGTTCACTTTTCGTAGTTGAAGTGTTTTGATTGGACTGGACCACACGGTGAAAAACCATGACGAGATTTTTGATATGATGAAGGGATGAAATGTGCGAGCATAGCTTGATTGAGCATATGATTTTATTGCATGTCATGATAATTTAGTTCAAATACTTGTTAATTCTATTATCAGATTTAGAAGTTAGATTAATAGGTGTAAAGAGTGGAAATTTGGCACTCCTAAAATTTACCGGAGACATTAACCATTAGACTATTGAGGCATCTGCAATCTATGATGATATATATATATATATATATATACCTATCCTTTGAAACATTTTATAATTGGTTTGAATTTTTTGTCAAACCAATTATATATATATATATATATAAACATTTTATATATATATATATATATAATTGGTTTGACAAAAAATTCAAACAAATTATAAAATGTTTCAAAGGATAGGTATTGCGCTAAACATTCATAGCAAGTGCCAAGTGCTTGTAGTGGTTGGCACCATCATTCATGTGCCTTGTGTTTCGGATGAGAAACTCAAGCACGTGAATCTCCTTAAAATGTATTGCAGTTGTAGCCACACTATTATTATTATTATTATTATTATTATTATTATTATTATTATTATTATTATGTTGTCTTACAATCACTTTTTATATAATATTTCAATGTTTCTATTTGTTTAGACGTAAAATATTTTTTATTTTTTGGTGTTTCGTTGTCAAAAATTTAAGTAAAATATTTACAAAGTAAAATATTTTATTAAAACCTAACAAAAAATTACTTACCCATCAAATTTCGAAAATTATTTTACAAACCCAACTCTATGGACTCAACCTTAACTTCAACC